ACTTAGCCTACTAACTGTTTCAAGAAAACACCCAGGAATACTATTTAGAATATTAGAACATAGAATAACAGAGTTAGAAGGGACCTTGGAGGTCATCTAGTCCAACCCCCTGCCTGAGCAGGAGAGTCTATTCCATTTCAGACAAACGGCTGTACAGTCTCTTCTTCAAAGCCTCCAGTGATGGGGCACCCACAACTTCTGAAGGCAAGCCATTCCATTTGTAAGGTATCGCTTCTATTAGATTCCTCTTGTCTATTAATAGGAGGAGTAAACTTTTCCTAGGCAATGAACACTAATATATAGCAAAAAGATTTTCCTACAATTAAGCTACTCAGTCGAATGAAGTAGAAATAAAACAAAAGCTATCAGTAATGTTAAATGATCTAAGTGAGAAACACGCAAACCATCAAGCCTCCAGATACGCATTTTTCATTAAGATAAAGATATAATAAATACCTTCTAAAATACATCTACTTTCCAAAAAAAAAAGAGAGAGAGAGAGAGACCAGTTTGGCAATTCATCCTGGACAGACATAACACAGTTATCTTTTGGCAATGTGCCTAAGAGCATATATGACTGATGAATGATATTGCCAATGGAGTATTTTAATATGAAGCTACCCCTTGTAACCTGTTCATATGATCCATCAAAAATACTAGCTGCTTTTAAAATTACATGCCTTCCAACCAGTATTTCTTGTTTAAACATGCTGTCTACTTGAGAAGCGAACAAGCAATGATTGCTAAAAACTATGGTGAGTGGTCTCACCATTCAATCTGGCCAAATTATAGCTCAAACTTCCTTCTGGTATTGTATTGTATTTATTTATTTATTTATTTATCAAATTTTTATATCGCCCTTCTCCCAAAGGGACTCAGGGCGGTGTATAGCCAAGATAAAAACCAACAATATACAAGTTAAAAACAATTTAAAATTATTAAATAGTTTGGCCAATCATCTAAAACACAATAACCCATTAAAATAATATTTTAGGCCAGCCCTGCTTGATGGAATAATAGCGTTTTAAGGGCGTGGCGGAAGGTATGGAGGTTGGAAATCCGACGAATCTCCGGGACAGCTCGTTCCAGAAGGCAGGTGCTCCCACAGAGAGGGCCTCCTCAGGGTGCTGTCGGTTAGACAGTGTCGACTGGCGACCCCCAGGGGGAGAGCCTTCTCTGTGGGAGCGTACTGGTCGGTGGGAGGCTATCGGAGGCAGAAGGCGGTCTCGTAAATTGTATCCCTTTTTAGCGAGCTCAGTTAGTCTGCTCCTGCTTTTTTTATTTTGGTTGGGTTTTTTGTTGTTGTTGTTTTTTAGAAAGAGAGAGAGAAAAAATAAGCCCATGGGTCTTGCTTCTTGATGTGCACTCACTTTTAAATACTTTTGAATTAATCCCGTGGGAAGTTCTCAAGCAGGGCCCCTAAAAGGAATTCATTCCACATGACTTATGTAACAAAACTTTAGGTTTGATGAGCACTGAAAAGAGCTAACAAACAAACAATGCACCTTGCAATGGTCTTAAGTCAAATTAGAATTGTCAACATTTCATTAAAACCACTAAGAATTCATTCAGTTGCCTGTCCTATAAGATATTGGATATGAATATGAAGTTGCTTTTTCTTTGGTCTATGTAACTCAGCATTGCTTACACTAATTGGTAGTGTGTCTATAGTCCTTCAGGGCCCCGTTACATTCAAAATAATGGAGGTCAGGCTTTAGAAATTTTATCTATATCCACACATTTCACTCCTCCAAACATGACACTAAGAATAGTCAAGACCTATATTTTCCTCTTTTAAAAGGGCATTCATTGTAAAGCGAGGATAGAATAAAGCAGCTCATGCTGCCCTCTTGTGGTAAAAGATCAGAAGACATCATTATTCAAGTTACAACTAATGCAGCTGTTGTAATAGTCTTTTCTTACTGTACCGTTTTTCAAAAGCCAGATCAACTTGGTAAATTCTTACTAGCGGTTTGCCAAGAGGAACTTTGCCAAGATTAAGAATGGGTGGTGCACACTTAGCTTGCTTTGCTGCACCAGCAATTGCTTTTTCAGGAAGCCACTGGACTTTCTTGGTTTTTCTTTTGAAGACGTTTCGCTTTTCATCCAAGAAGCTTCTTCGGCTCTGACAGGATAGTGGGGTATGGAAGGATTTATATTCCTTGCAGATAGCTAGTAATTTGCATCCTTTTAGAGGGTCGTTGAAGCACTTGGAGGTTTATCTGTGTCCTTAGTAATGCTTCTAGTTCCTGTAGTCTGCAATATTTTCTCTGGAAATCCATTCCTACTCCCACACCATTCAAAGGGTGTTCATCCCAAAATGGTATAGCTAAACATCTGTTGAGATTCTCAGTCATCCAGGTCATGGTTGTCCCAAAGGTGCTTTTTCAAGAGGCAACTGAACTTTCTTATTTTATTTTGGGTTTTTTGAAGATGTTTCGCTTCTCATCCAAGAAGCTTCTTCAGCTCTGACAGGATAGTGTGGAATGGAAGGATTTATATTCCTTGCAGACAGCTGGTCATTTGCATCCTTTTAGAGAGTCATTGAAGCACTTGGGTTTCCAGAGGGGAAAAAAATTGCAGACTAAAAGAACCAGCATCACTACTCAGGTGACTTTGAGGACACAGATAAACCTCCAAGTGCTTCAACAACCCTCTAAAAGGATGCAAATGTCCAGCTGTCTGCAAGGAATATAAATCCTTCCATTCCCCACTATCCTGTCAGAGCTGAAGGAACTTCTTGGCTGAGAAGCGAAATGTCTTCAAAGAAAAACAAGAAAGTCCAATTGCCTACTGAAAAAGCACCTTTGGGACACCTATGACCTGGATGACTGAGAATCTCTGAAGACGATTGGCAGTGGTACCTTAGTTACAAGGTGCGCATCAAAAAGATCTACTTAATGCTGCTATTGCTACCATTACTGTGACCAATTAAAAAAATGTTATTTATTCACCCATTAAATCTCTCAATCTCTCTCTTTCAGGAATTTTAGATGGAGAGCCATGTTAGTTTATAGTGACAAAAAAATCAGCAGCTGCCTAGTAGCATTTTTTTTTCTCTTCTGAAGCTCGCAACAATTTATACCTTTTAATAAAATGTATTAGCCAAAAAAGGAGCTACCAGGATCCTTCTGATCTCTCACCCCACTTGTACCCACTCCTGGTCACATTTTCTCATTTTTACATTTATTTATATTTGCTTTATGCTGTGTACCACTAAGCTACTGAGTATGATGGATGCTCTAAGAGTTTAAATAGAACACTGTAATTGGAAACTCAGCACATGTCACAAACATGCTTAAGCATGCCCAGTCAGGTTTGGCCTATAGAAAACACAGGGAGATACTAGCATGATACCTTTGTAAAAGCAAAAAGACCAGAAAAACAACTTTCACTGTGCAATGAATGAAACATCAACCAATAGTCTTGCTTAATGTCAGAAATTCATTTTGGCTTGGCTTTATGGTCATTAGTAAGCCTCTAATACTTTTCTTCTCTTCCAAGTTCTTTGTCAGTCACAGAACGCAAGGGAGGAAGGAGACAACTCTTGACAGTGAAAGAGGCTTTTAAGGAAGTGGAAGTTACCTTATCCACAAAGAACATGAGGAAAGATCTCAAATTTTTAAGAGCATCTCCCCTCAATGGCAGTCAGATGAGTTATCCTTACTATGTACACTCTGTGTTCAGGCAATCTAAGTTTTCTAAGCCTCCTTCGTGTCATGGTTTCATGTGCTAATTTGAAATCAATCTTTAACCAGATTTAAAGCTGAATTATAATTTAAAGGAAACATATGTCAATTAAGACTGGCAAAGGAAAACTCAAGACCAGGGGTGAAATCCAGCAGGTTCTGACAAGTTCTGGAGAACCAGTAGCAGAAATTTTGAGTAGTTCAGAGAACCAGCAAATACCACCTCTAGCTGGCCCCAGAGTGGGGTGGGAATGGAGATTTTGCAATATCTCCCCCCAGGAGTGGGGAGGAAATGGAGATTTTGCAGTATCCTTCCCCTGACATGCCCACCAAGCCATGCCCACAGAACCGGTAGTAAAAAAAATTGGATTTCACCACTGCTCAAGACCATATTGGTTGGAAACATGCAGAAGAGGCCATACTGCAGTGGAAAGACAATGGCTAAATAATGATGATATTACTAACAAAGTAAACTAAACTAAACGTCTTATCCTTTTTGGCAGTAAGAAAACAAGCAGAGTTTTTACAGTAAGCGAATATTATGTTGCTAATAGGACCATAAATTAGAGGGTGAAAATATTATTCTGCACTTTCTCAATCAATGAACCTTTAAGCCAGGGGTGGGTTCCACTTACCTTTGCTACTGGTTTGCAACGGGAGCGCCTGTGCTCACACGTGGCACTTCTGCGCATGCGCAGAGCGTGCATGATGACATCTGGGCTGGTGGCAGAGCCTCCCGCAGCCGTTACTACCGGTTCGCCATATCCGGACCAAACCGGTAGCAACCCACTTTAAGCACATGTCATGATGTCAACTGAAGAAGACATCACTGCAAAAAAAATTGCCAGCTACACTAAGTAGACGTTAAAAATGTGAACATTCTGCAGATGCCACTTAATTGAAAAGTGGCATGAAGGGGAAATAATCTTTTGATCATTCATACAATTCTGCCTATTGCTGACAGCTGGCAGTTCGATTCTCACCGGCTCAAGGTTGACTCAGCCTTCCATCCTTCCAAGGTTTGGTAAAATGAGGAGCCAGATTGTTGGGGGAAATATGCTGACTCTGTAAACCGCTTAGAGAGGGCTGTAAAGGATTGTGAAGTGGTATATAAGTCTAAGTGCTATTGCTTTACATCAAAAGTGTCATCTACAACCTACCAACAATGATGTCAAAAGGATAACATGCATGCAATAATGTCACCATTCAAATAGTGTGATGACGTTCCTGAATCACCTATCCTCTGCTTCTTCTTGCCCATTCCTGGAATAGTCAGCAGTATTCCATTATTGTAAAGTGATAGAAACTTACCAATAGGGTTTCTGTCAAAAAACAGCACTGGAGTTCTCAAAACCGACTGAAACATTTTGTCATGTAAAGTCCGAGCTGCGTTAACCAAAATGTGAAACATAATTAGGCTCCTCAGTATACTGAAAAGTATCGTAGTCACAGTTAAACCTGTATTTAAATGAAGGGCAGAATTACATAATGTAATCTATCAACTTCAAGAATTTATCGACAAACATTTTTTTAAAAAAAAAAATCATGCATCGCAACGATAGTAGTTCGACAGTAATTTATTTAACATCAAATACTGTTAATTTAACAAACCTTCTGCAACAAGAAAATTAGTAATTCTGCACAAATTTCCTACAAGTTATTTGCCTCTAGCTGGGTAACTGAGGTGCATGTTGACAAAACAAGAAGCGCAAATAGCTTTTGATAAGCCCATGATCTGACTTAAATTCATCATTAAAGTAAATCTTTTATTTATTTGTTGGATGTATGTGGTGCCCATCTTGTCTGGTAGTGAGTCTAGGAAACTCTTCCTTATATTTTTCCCTACTGCTGCTATTTATCCCTGTTTGGTGGTAAGCATAAATAAAATAACTGATAGAGGTGCATTCATGGACCTACATTTGACTGACATTCAGTTAACAAAGGATCCAGCCGAACAATTCAGGCTTGTACATTGTTCTCTGTTATTCTTTGTTTTTAAATATTTTTTAAAATGTTTTTTAAATGTTTTAACAAGTTAAATATTTTAACAATTGTAAGCTGCCCAGAGTCACTGGGAATTGGGCAGCATATAAATTTAATAAATTATCATTATATACACAACAGTGTGAATTCACATCCGCCAGTTCTTTAGCTGGTATTGGGCTTTATTTTTCTCTTTTTTGCGTGTGACAGAGATAACAAGGCCCTGTGAGACTCTGAGCAGGTAGACTGCTGCTTCTCAGTCTGCTGTGGGGCACACTTTGGGGATGGAGTTGTAAAGGAGTTAAATGAGTCTATTAAAACACAATTTCATGCAATAAATGTCTTGTTTTAGGAAAAAAATGTACAGCTAAAAATGGATGACTTGCCCCAGATTTCAACAGGGTTGCTCTGAAGTTACAAAATTACTACGGGGCCATGTGTATTCTGCAGGATGCTTATCCCTGGTATGCACAGTGGTCCCTTAAGAGCCCAATGAAAGGACAGACAGACATTCTTTATTATAGGTAAAGGTTTCCCTCGCACATATGTGCTAGTCGTTCCCGACTCTAGGGGGCAGTGCTCATCTCCATTTCAAAGACGAAGAGCCAGTGCTGTCCGAAGACGTCTCCGTGGTCATGTGGGCGGCATGACTAAACACCAAGGTGCACGGAACGCTTTTACCTTCCCACCAAAGGTGATCCCTATTTTTCTACTTGCATTTTTTACGTGCTTCCAAACTGCTAGATTGGCAGAAGCTGGGACAAGTAATAGGAGCTTACCCTGTTACGCAGTACTAGGAATTCGAACCGCTGAACTGCCAACCTTTCGATCGACAAGCTCAGAGTCTTAGCCACTGAGCCACCGCATCCCCTATTCTTTATTATAGACACTGACTAATCAACATACTATATAAACAGCAAAACACGGAGAACAATAACACATATTCTAACAATAACTCCTTAAACCCTGATTGAATTTTACAAACTATACCTCTATTTAAATAAAAAAGGTGTTTGAAGGCAAACATTTTTTAAAGTCTGTGTTCTGGAAATTTTAATATGCATTTAAAATGGCTGAATGCTATTTTATGCATTAACAACAGGCTGGTGACAGACACACAGATCCTGCTGGTCACTAGGTAGATTTAGCATGTTTAGGGCAGTTAAGAATTAGCAGCAGGCTCAATTTCAAATTTCCTGTGAATCTGTTCATAATAATAAAAACATGGCTGGGATAATCCATTTGGAAAGGTAAAGCTTATGATGAGTTTTCAAATATTCAATGTTTATTTACCTTCCAGTTCAGCTATTCCTGAAGTGACTATGTTCTCCCATATGGTATAGTTTTTAATTGTTTTAATTTTCTAATGTTTGAGGGGTTCTTAGTGCTCTCTGAGCTTGATTGTTTTCTTGAAGACATTTCCTTACCCAAACTAGGTAACATCATCATTGCTAATGTTTGTATGTTTCTAATGCTTGCATTATTATTTTACCTTTTGGTTTCCCGATATTGTTTGTGTTTTAACGATATAAACTGCCCAGAGTCACATATTGACGGCTATATAAATTCAATCAATAAATCAATTGCTTTCAAAATTCAGACTATAAATTCTCTATCCATCTTAAGACTATTTTTAAAGAGATAATCTAATTAATACAGTCAGAGAAGAAAACAGCATCCTCTTAATCTACAATTATCTACAGTATATACTTCTAAAACCCTTCAGTCTTTTTGTACTGTTCAAATGGTACATCATAGGGCAGCCAGTTTTAAACCAAGGCACGTCAAATGACATAATTTACAGAATTCCAGGAGCCATTACACTCCTGTAATGGGAGTGAAATTTGGGGAAGGTGTGGCTATCTATTTCAGTGTTGCTGTGTTGCCACTGCTTCAACACAGGTACATTGTTATAGTCAGAGCAATGTGATCATCATTTATGTTCCTTAATATCTTCCCACAACTCAATGGAGAAGCCGGCAGGAAATGTAAACTTGATTGTTGATTGCCAATGCTCCCTGCCAGCTTCCCATAAGCAAATACTTCGATTTTGAGAAGTTGGCAGGGAGCATTGGCAATGGGGAAGTTGGTAGGAAAGGTTGCAAGTCTCCCCTACCCTGAAGTTCTCCAGCCTCTCTTGGGCACTCCGCACACCCTTCCTGACCAGCACCACATGGCCACAGACCCAACATTCAAGGTACGTCTTGCACATACTCATGTACCTTCCCAATTCCCGCAACCCACACTTCCACACCCGGGCCTGACACCCTTCCTGATTTGCACTACACTCCTGCATACCATTCCTGTCAGCGCCACGCAAGATGTACAGTGTGCAGATCAGGGAGTGTGTACAGGGCACATAAGAAATGCCACACATGTCAGGGAGGATGCATAGAAGTTTTGGAGTTGCACACTAGGGGTTGGGAAGAATATGTGGGGGTGTATCAGCACAACTTACATGATCAGGAAATGTTGCTAGAAAAATGACCCAATGGGACACAGGTTGTCTAGTAACATTTAAAAGTTATTTAAAAACCCTCATATTTTAAGATCATGGTATAGATTTTTGCAAATTACAGTTGATATTTTAAAAGTTTTTACCTGCATACATTCCTAAATACCAGGGAAGATCCAGATTTTCTGTGATATTTTGCCCACCATATTCCATTCTAGTGACATTTAGCATTACTTGCTGGTTTGCCCTGTGGACACATGGAAAGAAGGTATTTCAAACAAGCACATGAGAACATATTGCTTGGAATAAATCTCTGGTTTCTCTCTAAGTTTCAGAAAAGTTGAAACAGCTCACTTTGCAAAGCATAAAACAACAATCCTTCTTCAACTGTAATCTGTAATTTCTGAAATACTAAACCATATGTGGACTTCTGATATTATATTTATTTATTTATTTATTTATTTATTATTTGTCAACAAGTACAAGGAAATAAGTAACAGTAACATGGACATGGACACATATAAAAGGAAATAAATAAGCAAAACATAGCCATAAACACATAAAATGAGTACACATAAATGGGAACAGTAGGACAAGAACAGTAGGCACGCTGGTGCGCTTATGCACGCTACCTTAGGGACCTCTTAAGAAACATGAAAGGTCTACGGTAAACATTTTAAGGTAAAAAGTATGGGGATTAGAGAGACTAACTACAGGATCAGATAGAGTGTTCCAGACATTTACTACTCTATTGCAGAAGTCATATTTCTTACAATCAAGATTAGAACGAATTACATTGAGTTTGAATCTATTGATAGCCCTTGTGTTATTATGGTTGAAATTAAAGTATTCATTTATAGGTAGGACATTTTGATAAATAATCTTATGAGCTAAGCTTAGGTTGGAACGTAGACGGCGTAGTTCAAGGCTATCAAGCTTGGTGGTATAGGAAAAATATGTTAAATAAGGAAGAACAGAATCAATGTGAAGATACCGCCTGCTTTGGCAATGTTATGTGTTTCACTACATTAAGTTTTGCCCCAGAAATAAATAGTAAAAATCAGGGTTTGTTCCAAATTATGTTGTTATTTAATAAAAACTTTTGCATTACCTTTCAATAAATAACAATGTAAGGTAGCACAGAGCATAGAAATATAACACAATTAACACCACCATTTTAAAAACAACAACAGTAGAGTATCATGTAGAGTTTAAAATGCTAAAATATTTAATTCTATTCCAATATGGGATCTAAAAGTTTTTTAAACAAATGTCAAGGCTCTTCTCTACTAGGATTGTTTCAAAGGGACACCCTGTGATAGATTAGAACACGTGGCCTCTAGGTACAAAATTTGTGAATGTAAGATTTCTTTTATAAACTGCATAATTCACTAACTGTAAATTCATTTAATTGAATCAATGACCTATAGTCAAAAAGAAATTAAGGTAAATGTAATCCAATCATTAAAAGATGCATGTTAAAAGGATACAAAAATCTGTAAAGATTTTATACTGATACATTGTTTGTGAAAATTGTTGTATTTTCACAAACAATTTCATTTACTGAATTTTCCCTTATATATTCTTTATGCTTTGTTTTGTTGTTTCAACTGTGTGTTTTTTTTCAAACTTTGAATGTGTACTTTATTTCATACACTATTTCAAAAATTTGTCTATTATATATGATATATTTTTAAATCCTGGGTTAAAAATTGTCTTCCATTAAAACTTCTCTCATTTTATTAAGAATAATATTGATATATCTATTGAAATAGAAGAATTAAGGATTTTCAGAAGTGTAAATTACACACTAGGAAAATCATAGCTAGTAAAGGAGTAGTCTCTATTTAACAGTAAGTGGACAAAGTGACTTTTTCTTATCAGCCAAACTTGTTGATACAGTTTAATACTGATTGATCTGCTAGAAGTCTCATGTATTCATTAAATACTGTGAAAAATCATGGTTTATCTGGATGATTTCACAGAATCCATCCAGGAAGTGGATTTCTGGCTCTCCTAACTGTTATTTTGTACAAAGCTTTCTTTTACTTTATACTAATGAGCTGCCGATTTTTAGATTTCTGAGAGAGAGAGAGAGAGAATTTTGGAATATTTTTAATGAAAGATGGTAAAAGCACAATGCACAAAATAAAAATGAAATAATAGTTTTGGGATGGGGTAAAGAGAAAGGGTGACTGCATTTTTCCATAAATTCAAACTATGCTTACCAAAAATACTATGAACTAATATGAAGAACTGCTGTATGGATTTCCAAAGACTAAAAGCATTTTTGTCTTGTTTTCAAAAAGAATATGGATCAAAAGCAGGGGTGAAATGCTCCCGGTTCGGACCGGATCGCCCGATCCGGTAGCGATGGAGGCGGGTGGTTCGGAGAACTGGTAGCAAAAATCCCTGCCCCTGCCCCCACATGCCCAGCTGAGCCGCACAATCATCAGAGGCTTTTTTTTTACTTTTAAAAGCATTTTTTCTACAACTACGGCCGAAAAAACGCTTTTAAAAGTTAAAAAAAAAAGCCTCTGATGATCGCGCAGCTCGTCAAAGGCATTTAAAAGAAAAAAAACCTTTCTTTTTTTTTTAAATGCTCTGACGATCCCAGCTGAGTTCCCTGATCGGCAGAGGCTTAAAAGCCTCTGCCGATCAGGGAACTCAGCTGGGATCGTCGGAGCCTTTTGAAAACATTTTTTTACAACTTCTTAGCCGAAGAGGTTGTAGAAAAAATGGTTTTAAAAGTAAAAAAAAAATGGCCACGCCCACCCAGTCACATTACCCCCACACACACACCAAGCCACGTCCACAGAACCAGTAGTAAGAAATTTTAGATTTCACGCCTGATCAAAAGTCCTGATTTATTCATTTGTCACATTCTTAAAAGTGATCATTTACATGATTTATATAGAAACAATCACTCACCAATAAGAAAGCCACCAATCCTGGAGTACATAAGTAACCTAAAACAGTTAAAACAATTCTTTTAGAATTTATTTTGGATTATTTAATGCCTTGTGGTTTAAATTCAAAACATGTTTCATGTATGATAAACTATCCTTGAGCCTTTCTTTTTAGATATACATACTATTCAAAAAAATAAATACATGCATGCACATACTTATATGCAAAAATTTTAGATTCTTCCAGTCAACTAGTATTTTTTTTTTATAATAAGCGAACAGAAGCAAATGTTCATGGTATGAAGTTAACCACAACACCAAAGGTGCTTTTTGAAAAGGCAACTTGATTTTCTTTGTTTTTGCTTAAAGACAAAAACACTTGGCATCCAAGAAGCTTCTCCGGTTCTGAAGAGAAGAGAATCGAAGAAGCTTCTTGGATGAGAAGCTAAACATCTTCAAGCAAAAACAAAGGAAACCCAGTTGCCTTTTGAAAAAGCACCTTCGGAAGAACCATGTTCCAGATGACTAAGAATCTCCATAGACTCCATATTTTTGTTGCCTTCAGACCTCTTCCCTCTGTTTTAGGTTATTAGACTTAGTATTAAGAATTTTGTAGAGAGATTTTAATGTTTCACTATTATAGTTCAATATTGTGATATCAATGCTAGCTATGTGCTATTTTTATCTTTCATAAGATTCAATGTTATTATTAAAATATTTTGTGCTAATCTATGACCCAAATCAAGATTTGATGGACTGATACCTCCAAATCAATCTTGAATAAAAGTAAAGATTTGGGAATGGCTTTCACAGTCCTCACCACTTGAATATTACTGAAGATATTCAGAGAAGTCTCAAACATGCAGTAAAACAGCACAACTTTCTGAAGGCCTTTCAAACTCTTGACATGTTCCCTGTTCCTACTCTCAATCTGTGCACAACTGCACATAAACAGTAATCGTGCATTCCGATTTGTGGGAAAATGTGGCATTTAACTTTGTGTAATGTTGTAACAGCTTCCATTCATTAGGAATTAATTTAAACATAGAATTTGATCTGGATTGCCTAAAATTTTTAATATGCACCAAAAAGCATTCTGGATTCTCAGACATCCTAGACCAGGAGTGTTAAACTCAAGACCCATGGGCCGGATCTGGCCTGCGGGGTGCTTAAATCTGGCCCATGGGGCCAGACTGGAAATATCAAAGGATCAGCCGGCAGTGCCTCTGCAGTCCAAAACTGGCTGCGTCATCCCCCCTCCCCCGCAGCCCATTTTCGGCCTCCACAGCATCCTGCAGTACTCTGCTGGCTAAAAACGGGCCACACAGAGGCCTCGGGAGGCCTCTGCGTGGCCCATCTTTGGCCAGCAGAGTGCTGCTGGAAGCTGGGGGGGGGGTGAAAACAAGGCACGGGGTGTGTGCGGCCACCCACACCCCATTTTGGCCGGCAAGTTGCTGCAGGAGGTGTCCATCCCATCTCCCCCCCCCCCAGCCAGCGGAAAACTACAATGCTAATCCGGCCCTTGAAGAAATCCAGTTTGACACTCCTGTCCTAGACTGTCAACTTCTTCAGCTCCACTCAGAATGTTCTGAACAGTCTTTTTTTTTTCAAGAAGATCAGCCATCTTTTATGAATTAAGATTTAGCAGGATCCCACTATCTTTCTTTCAATATAGGTCAGCAGACAAGGAACCTCTCTACCCATAGCAGCCCTGAAAAGAAAATGATTATCTGCTTCTATTTTAATCTCATACAATAATGTAACGCCTTAAAGAGATTGCTCCTTGCCATGTATCTTACTCAAGAATAGAAGATTAGTTGATAATCCTCACAATTCTCAGAATCCAGGCACAGCACTTTTTTAGCAGCATTGCCTCACTCACTGTGGTTGGGACTATTCCTTTCTCAAAATGGTATTAAGCTTTTTCAAGCTTCCTCTTTCAGCTAGTGGTAGGAGTAGTACAAACAAAAAATATAAGCTAAGTAACAGTAAGCCAAGCTAAGCATCTTATCTGCAATCTTACACCACAATAACCGAAAGTTATCTCATCAACTATGACTATATGGTAGATTGGACACATCAGTTACATATTGTAGGAGTTGTGACATCCAAATAAAGAAAACTCAAGAATGCCTAAAACATTCTCAGTTTGCCATCAGGCAGTTATCAGCACTATCTAAAAACTAAAATGGAATAAATTCTAAAGCAGAGATTCTCAATAGTGTTAGATCTATTATAGAGGGGAATTAGAAGTAGCCATGGTGGGACTCAGAATAAGGCTTAATTGAGTCTTAAATTTCCAGGTTGGCACCCTGAAAAGGTAATGCTACCAAGAAAATGTTGTTTTTTTTCACTATTGTACTGCAAGCATGGTAATACAATTCCTTGAATTTAGTTACATATGACTAAGTTTACTCATTATTATTTTTAATTTGACTGTATTATTTCCAGGTCTGTGGAAGAGACTGACCAAAGTTGTGTAATGACTGAATCAATAGCTTTAGCCCCTCAATATCTCACAAGACCTGGGGTGGAATGGAAAGCCACTAAGTCAAAGCTCATACCCCTAACATCCTACTAATATCCAGAAGTAAACAATTCATAATATTTAAACATTAATTTATGCTAACTACTATATTTTAAAAGGTATTTCCCTATAAACAGAAAATTCTACTGCAATGTTTGAAAGACTAATTTCAATAAACTTTTTTCTTTTTATAATCAAATTGTATGGAATGTTTTCTTTTGAAATTACGTGCGAAAAGTAACAGATAGATCACTGCTCCATCCTTACAGTAAATAAATCTCAAGCTCATTTTACAATCTGACCACTTTATTTCAAAGAGGAAAATATCTCTTTTATGCTTTAAATCTTGCTACTTCACTTCATACACACAGAATAGGAAAGTGGTATGTGCTAAACTATTAAAAACAATTATCAGTAACATTTTCCTTTTTGATCTCTAAAAAAGCTTACCTGTGCCAAAATATTGAGAACTAAAAGTATAAAAATTACAAAATAATTTGCACCAGCAGAAAAGTACTTCTTATAAATGGTAAAGCCAATTTTTCCTTCTGATCGACTTTCTTCTGGCAGTGCGGTTAGGAGTGGTCCCATCTACAATACAATGGAAGTGAAAATTAAGGAAAAGGATTTTGTTAAGACTAATTCTACAAAAAAATAAGTTTCTAAAACAGATTTTCTAATTCTTTAGCCACCTTCCCCAATCTGAGGAAATAATGCATCTAGGTTAATTTAAAAGATCAAGCTTTGATGTGGGCTATCAATTACATAATTTAAGCGGATTCTTTTACATTACTTTTGATTATTATTTTGATTAGGTTAATAAAACACCACATATTTATACATATTACAAATTATGTATGCATATTTGCATATTACATTGCATATTATTTATGCATATTTGCATATAACAAATTCTGTGCCAGAATGTTAAATCTGATACAGTTCAGAAGATGTTCTGCTTATTATGAAAAGGACAACTTGTTCTTACTTTCCATTCATTCTTCTCAATCGTTAATGTGAAATAATTAAGCACCTGAAATTAAAATGTATACTCTTAAGAGTATAAATGTTCTTTGTTATTTATGCCAAAATGTGCAAGTTTAAGTATCATATTTCACAGCAAAAATGTTAATGCCAATGGAAAATATTTCACAAGATCATGGAATATGATACTTAAACTTGCACATTTTGGCATAAATACGTAACAGTTTCTTATTCTACAAATAAAAACACTGTTCAACTTTCAGGCTGTTTTATACTCGTGTCATTTACTCACAGCTGGTGGTCCAGCAGTTCCATCTTTCTGTGACTGAACCGAAGACTCCAGGGACCACAGGGAAGACTGAGAAAATGTACGAATCCTAGTCAACTGGTGGCTGGGTGTCCCTGGAGATGGTGGTTGATCATTATCCTCATCTTTTTTCAAAAGGGAAGCAAAATCTATTCCAGATTTAAGGAAGTCTGAGAAAGTACCTTTCCCTACCTCCTTACCCTAGAAAGAAAATACATAGAGACTATAAGGTGCAGAATGGTTGTAAAATAGCCAACTACACTAGTAATTTTTCAGATAACTGCCAGCTGCAATCCAGGCTCCACTTCCACCAAAAAGAATCTTTTAGTAAATGTCCTCCTTTCTCTGAGACCGTCTGTGCTTCCCAGCAACCTGTTTTAAATGATTAAGGTACATTTCAAGGAAGTGTGGGATCTACAGAGAGATGGATGAATAAACCAAACTTATCCTTTCCGCTAACACTGAGATTTCACCAGTTACACCTTTATTCTACACACTTGTCTTTCATGGACAAGAGGCACTCTTCAGTGGATGGATATTAAAATGTGGGTCCAAACATTTTACTACTAATGATCAATAACAGAGTACCTTAGACATTTCATAACAAAAGTATCATATTTCTTAACATTTAATTAAGTCATTAGTGTATTATATTTCCCTGTATCCCCCCGATTGTAATGAATTATCGTTTATTTATTCAATTTTTTGTTAAAGTTATATCCTGTCTTTCATGCAGGAGTTTAAGATGTTCTCTCTCCTTTCTCCCCACCCCCCATAACTTTATTTCTGTAAACCAGGTGGGGCTAAGGGAGAATGGTTCAACCAAACAGCTTCTGTAGTTAAGAGGAAATCTGAACCTGGATCTCTTTGATGCCAGAAGTCCACTAACTGCTACACAGTACTGGCTCTCTCAATTAAGTGAGCAATTGTCTAAGTAATAGTCCAGACTGAAAATCAAAAATATGATTTCTCATGCTAGGAATGAGAAATACAGCAATAACGCGTACATTCTCTTGGTATTTTTCTCCTTCTCCAGAAAACTGATGAGGAGATGGAAATGTACCCTTCTGGTTTTGATTAACCAACCACGTGGTTTGATTAACCAACAACATGGTCCATGTTGTTTCCTTAGCAATAGTACCGAAGTGTCTCAACTGTTGCTTTCTTCCAGAACATTTCTTCAACTTCCCAGTCTAGTCTACATCCTTTCTTTCAAGATCGACCCTGTTTGGCTAGATGTTGTAAATCTGAGTTGTTTGTATCATCTTAATTCTAGAACATCTTAGTTATATATTTCATAACCATGGCTTTGAAGCGAACATTTCAACAAATCATAGTTAAAATGTATCACATTTTAGAGTCTGGATGCAACTATAACTGGCAATTACATAAATAAAACAAGATATAAAACTTTCAGGACCTTCTCTGGCTATGCTGTAAGCAGAAAGAAGAAAAGGAGTATCTTCTTTTAATAAACAAGGGTTTATTTTGAAGCAACTGATTAAATTGTTCTCATTAAGGCAGCAATAAAAATAGATGTCCTATCAGTTACTATTAATTTCCTGACTTTTTTCCTCTAATCCCAAATGACATATAATACAAGTCAGTTGAAAAATCCTACTTGTCAATCCACCCAACTGAAAAATTTCTTCTCCACAATCTTTTTCTAAATAATAATTAGAGAGAAGTATAACAATCTTTTTTTTTTTTAAAGACAGTCTTTAAACTCAGTAAGCCAGAACTGAAGCTAGGATTTAAAATTGGGTGAATCTAAAGCTAACTTGGGCTACTTCAGACTGAGTTTGTGATCTAAAACAGTATATGACGTGTAATGGGGCCATCAGGAACTTTGTTATTCATTCTTTTACACTTTCTCCATAAAGAGAGCCCTGGTGTAGTTTTAGTACATTCAGCATTTGTTCATCCATGCAATATATTAATTTAGGGCAGGGGTGAAATCCAGCAGGTTCTGACAGGTTCTGGAGAACCAGTAGCGGAAATTTTGCGTAGTTCAAAGAACCAGTAGCGGAAATTTTGCGTAGTTTGGAGAACCGGCAAATACCACCTCTGGCTGGCCCCAGAGTGGGGTGGGAATAGAGATTTTACAGTATCCTTCCCCTGCCACACCCACCAAGCCATGCCCACAGAACCAGTAGTAAAAAAATTTGGATTTCACCACTGATTTAGGGAGAAAAATAAAGGTAAGTGAGAAGCCTGCCATGGAAGGTTTTGGGGACTTCTCCAAACTAAAATATTTGCTTATGCAATAATCTAATTTTATTTTATTTTATTGGTAATAAACTCTATTTTATTAAAAGCTAGGTTTCTAAATGTGTTATCTTTTAATAGTAAATTTTATGGGTAACTTGGGAATTATATCGTTTTGGAAACTGACCTATCAGAAAGCTTCATAGCATCCTAACCGCATAAGTCTAGAGTGCATTTTTTTCAATGGGTCTCCCCTTCGTAGATGGGATACAACATCATAAATAAATGTATAATAGAAGTGAATCTCATATGTTGGAAAGGTGGTAAAAGTCATGGGTCCACAATGTATATGTGATAGCCCAATTTTAGGATGACTTTTTTTTAAGGAAATTCCATAGTTATAATAGTGCCCTCATTAATTACCAAATTTATTTATAGATCAGAACACCTCATTGAAAAATAAAGTGTCAATAGGGCATGTGTTAATGGTAGCATAGTTGATAGTTATTAGATATTAGATATTGGAAACAGATTAATATTTTTTTTTGAAAGATGGCAAAATTTTGATTAGCAAATATTTTATAAAATTACAAAAAAAATAATTATTAGAAGTCTTGTTAGTAATTAGAAATACATAATATCCTTTCTTATATCTGGTTTGTCTAAGGATATATGGAACAATTAAAATTTGTTAATTGGAATTTATTCTAAGATAATTATAGCGAACAGGATATCTTTCCTATTTAATTTATTTACTTTATTTCTTTCACAGGTTTTTATACTGCTTCAGTCAACGTAAATATAAATGTCACATTGAAAGCAACATAACAATATTTTATTTATTAGTGACATTAGAACGGAGGAAGAGGGGAGATATTAGATTATGTCTGTTCGATCTTTATTGACTTTATTTGCATTTATATTTGTAATTCATTTAATTTTGACTAAAAGAGCAAAGAATAGGCATGGAACGTAAACAGCCTAGATTCAAGATGCCTAATGTCTTATATACTTACAAATTTCAGCTTTAACATTTTATATTTACAGCTGTAAAGTCAAAATAAAGAGCATATTTTCCCCATGCTATCTAGCAGGAAGTTCAAATCTCACTTCAGCTGTTGAAAACTTCAACAGATATATTTTATACTATCTTCTTTTCTAGCTAGGAGTTTAAAAAGTCCTGACTTTATCATTCAAAAATGGCATTTTAATTTATTTAGTTCTGTAAAATAAATGTATAATTTTGTACGCCATGTAGACACATTACTTGTAACACTGCAAGGTTGACCATGCTATTCTGCTTATTTATAACTCTTCAACTTTAAATATTAAGAATACGGAAAGCAAACTAATACACTGCCAACCCTCCGAAGATTATTTTTATTTTCACCAACCTCTTTTAAAATTAAGATCTGGCTTGCAGCTCGTAAATATTGCAACTGGTGAGTCACTAAAATGCACACTTTTTTATGCAAAGTCTGACAAATACACCTGCAAAAGAAATGAAACTGAATGAAATGCTGACTTCTTAAAAACAGTAGATCAAGTTGCTATAAAAGTAATTTTTAAAGGCTCCACTTTATACGATAATTAGGAAAGAACTAAACAGTACTATTCATCAGTATCTAATTTGAAACTAAATTCTGGCTCTTGTTCTACTTACTGATATTCAGTATTGGGGGGGGGGAGATGGAATGTAAAGATAGCCTCAAATAATATCTGATCACAAGAAAAAATTCCAATCTAGGAAAACCATTACAATGCTGAACAGGAGAAGAAACTGAAAGAAGGAGGGAGTCCTATATTCTAAATTATTGATATAATTTTAGCAAAACATTTTACTGGACAGTTTATGGAATGTTCCTGCTATACCCTGTTCCTTAAACCACAGAGGAAAAGAGTAGATGAGTACTACCCCAGGAACCAGATCTTTCTAGAAAGTTCTCTTGAGGTCATGCATTAGTCTCAAGCTCTGTTTCCTGAAACAAACCCACAAGCCTTCCATAGGACACAATTGCTTAATTTCTTTGAAGAGAAGTGCTTCATTCACATTGTCACAACTGTAGTTGTCTCACAGCTCTTGTTTTATTTATTTAGCGTATGGCCAGGGATCACCAAGGTGATTGGCTGCCTTTGTGAAAGGATTTTTTTCGGGCGTTATCTTTACGCCTGAATGCCAGTAGGCAATTGGGAGAGGCTCCTTTCTTGTTCCTTGCAGTTTATTCGCTCACGGGAATAACCACTGAGCTGTTGACCTTAGCGACGTGCAGACCCAGCATCTTACCACGTGAGCCACCACGGCCCCTCACGGGTCTAATTTTCCATCTTGAGTTTTTTAGACTTCAGCAGTATTTACATATACTCCAATGTACATTTGCAATGGAAACTTATACAATATTAAGTGTGATGTCCATGAGAGAGTTTAACTGAACCAATTTGCCTGAAAAATTACATCTGCATTCTACATCATAGTGGAAACTTCTTATAGCCACAGGAACATCTGATTCAAATTGAAATATATGATTGACCACTCTGAGATATTATACTACACAAAGTTATTTTTTGTGTCTTTCAGCACAAGGTAGATCCTGAATAAAAATTAATACCTGAATATTTACAGGCATTAAATTAAATTTTGCTATAAAAACTTGCTTTAAAGTGTAATAAAATAATAATAAAAATGTCACATTAATCCCTGAAAAATGAACACACGATACTCTACATACCGAATTAAAAAGCCTGGTTTTTCAATGTTAGAAGATAACAGCTTTTTTAAAAATAAGACAGTCACAAGTATGATACAATAATGTATCATATCTATTACAGCAAATTCTTAACATGGGGACATTTATGCTTGAAGGTTTCTCTTCAATCACTACCAACTTACTTTGCTTTTTAAAAAATCAAGAATATGGTCCTAAATCTAGTGACCGTAACATGTTTTGCAAATGATATAACTCAGTTTACAAAGAGCTAAATAAAAATAATTAATTTCATAATTGCTCCCCTTCTCTGGCACTGATATAATACATTTTTATTATAAATGGTCTTGAAGCTACAATAGTTGGGAATCTTCTTCTTCTTAGCATTATTCCCACACTATGGCAGGGTCTCCTTGTCAGCAAAGCTGACTTCTTCAGGAGTGATAATCATGCATTTCATGTCTTCCTTGATGTGATCCAACAATAGTTGGCAATATAAAATTTAATAATAAACAAAATGTATGGCGAAAGAGACCAAGAGACAGTAAAAGCAGAAATTTGGGGTTATTCTCAAGATAATATAATTTTACCTAACTTATCTAACCATTAATATTTGATCATGTTCCAGAATTGGATGATTTCAACCGCGGAAATCTAATTAAAAATTAATCACTTCTCACAAAGGCCTCTGAATCATGCCACCGGAACAACTATTGTTGCAACTGTTAATTCATAGCATACACATCTTCTCGATGATAATTTTCAGTCCTATGTAAAAAAAAGATTAATTTATAAACCTATGTCTCAAACATGGCATGACCACAGAACTGAAATATATATTATTCCTACAAAATACATGCACACAAATCTTGTTTGGGTAGAGAGAGGAGACAATAGAACAGAAACTATATTGCAAGATTATGTTGGGAGATCCCCTTCTGGGCTCACAGCCTGGTGCACCTTCTCATTTCTGTTGGCCACTAGAGCCAACAGATATACTCAACAATACTGTAGGGCAGTGGTTCTCAATCTGTGGTCCACGGACCCCTGGGACAGCAGTGATGTCATCACACTGGATCTGCAAAGACCTGAAGAAACTTTATGATTTTCTGACCTCAGACTCCTTGTCCCGATAAAACCTTCCCTTTAAAGGGAATTCCTCTCCAGCAAAGTCCCAACAAACAGTTTTTCATGAGATCTCACAACTATAGACCTTTATCAGGCTTGGAGAGTGGCCAGGCTGATATCTTCCAAACGCCACGTTGTAAGAGCAATTACTTGGCAAGAAGTCAGGATCAGATCTTCACCCTAATGAAATGAACTAATTGTCTCCTGCAAACTCCCCTCCCCTTCGCTCCTCTTTATTCCCTGTGGGAGGGACCATTCACTGTTCACCTGTGCCTTTACTCCAGAGTCAGCCTTGTTTCTTAGCTGTTCCCTTCTCTTGGCAGCTCTGCACATGTGCACACTGGGAACAGGCTCCAGCTGTTCTTCTGCCCCACTGATATCCGACTCCGAAGGCAGCTGATAACTGTCAGATGGCCCTGGCCCCATCTCTGCCTTCAGCACAGAGCAGTCATCAGAGCCTTCCCCAGACTCTAGGACTGGCCCATGTTCCTCTCCAACCTCCTCACTGTTTGAGTCTGTCACCAGCTCCGTTGGCCGCTGGCGGGCCACAACAGAATTAAATCTTGACTTAAGTCTTGAGGGGGGGTCCATGGCCATGGTCTGGGGCCACAAAAAGTATTTAAAGAGGGTCAGTGATGCAGAAAAGATTAAGAACCGCTGCTGTAGGGGTTTCCTTCCTTGGACAATTCTTCTATTATTTTCATTTCTCTCAGCATGCATATTATGCTGCATAAAGCTGCTGAACTCCGAATTGACTCCTTCTGTCAGAGTACAGAATGGGAAAATTGATATAAAAATGGCACATGGAAAATTATGTATTGTTGGTATATGACACCAGAGAAATTGTCCAGAATATATAAAAGCACCTCTGATATAAGCTGGAAATGTAAACAACATGAAGGGACCATTTAGCATGCTCGGCGGACACATTAAAAAGTTGTTCTGCGAGTGAGATGGACAGTTGCTAAGTAGGATAAACAACTAACTATGCTAAAAATTTTGGATTCAAATATATGCATTGAAACTGAGGATTTTAAAGATTAATATTCAATTAAAGGTACAACTTGATATCTGAAAAGATATCAAAGTCTATGTGTAGATCAGTATTAAGAAAAGCCTTCCAGATTCTTATAAATAAAATATAAAAGCAATTATCTTTATCAGATTCTGCATGAGGTCGTGACATGAAAAACAATGCCTCATTATTTAAACAATTTAACCTGTCCAAACAAATTAAAATCATTTAAAATCCAAATATGTCTTTTAGGAAAGGGGTCCCTAAACCCCGGTCTATGGACCAGCACCGGGCCACAGCATGCCAGAAACCGGGCCGTGCAAACAAGCAAAGCCCAATTTGTAGGATGCAGACAGTACATGAAACCACGTTCCCTCCAGTCTACAGAAAAACCTCTCTCCACAGAACCGTCCCTGGCACCCAAAAGGTTGGGGGCCACTGTTTTAGGATGTTTCACAAAGGCCATCACTATGGACTTGTGACTGATTTCCAGAGCTTTAGAAACGAAATAATTGGCCAAAGTTTGCACTGCTTTTCTTAAGCCAGGGGTGTCAAACTCGCTGCCCACAGGCTGGATGTGTCACGTGCTGGCCACACTCACCCCCGGTTTAGCGAAGGGAGAAAAAGTCACGATGCCTCACATGGTGACAACATGACAATGCAAGCAAATCAGAATCTGTAAAATTAACATTCTGTCATCCACATAAATAAGACTGGATACTGATATATCAATTCCAGCTTTATCATATGTAAGAAGAACTATTATCTAACACTTAAGTACCAACAGTTTATGGGAAGAGGATGAAGTACTATAAAGGAGCATTAAGAAATGCTACAATTTCAAGAAGAAATCACCATTAATCAATATCACAACACATCACCATAAAAGCCTCGTGATTTTTTGAGGTACATGGAAAGGAACAATAATCTACAGTCATAGTTATCAACTGCTACTTTAGGAATATTTCTTTCCTCTCACTCAAAAACCAAAAGGCCAAAAGACCATAATGTGCAAATGTATGTAAGTATATATTCTTGTTAGCGAATTGCTTCAGCTACCATTTATGGTTCAGAATAACAGAATAGGAAGGGACTTTGGAGGTCTTCTAGTCCAACCTCAAGTAGGAGACCATATACTATTTAATCAATGAATTAATCAATGAAGGATGCAGTTAGCATTGGATAAGATTTTACTGAGTTCAGCGGTAGTTCCAAATAAACATTGGATTGTACTCTTTAATTGGGAAATATAACTCTTAACTCGAAAATATTATTATTCAACAAAAACATCCCTTTATAATCACGTCAGCTGTTGTTCTTATGACAGAAATACTGAGCCCCCTTCTCCCAATATTTTTGAAATGTTTACATAAATGATTCTGATTTTCTATCGTTAGAATAAGATATAGGAGCAATAATATATTCACCAGGCCACAAAACCCACGAAAGATCTTTAAATGTTTCAAGTTAACCTTGTTTCCATTTACAGGATAAGAAAGGAGAACCACTGAAGAGAAATGTAAATGTTTAAAAGTTCACTGTGGAGGTTACATACTTTTCAAACAAATGCCTGCTCACTTCTGCATCCACTGCACTTAATGGATCATCCAAAAGATAGATGTCGGCATCCTGGTACACAGCTCTAAAAAATAGACAAGTAAGGAACAATTAAGGTAAAGGTTCCCCTCGCACATATGTATTAGTCGTTCCCGACTTTAGGGGGCAGTGCTCATCTCCATTTCAAAGCTGAAGAGCCAGCGCTGTCTGAAGACGTCTCCGTGGTCATGTGGCCAGCATGACTAAACCCCAAAGGTGCACGGAATGCTGTTACCTTCCCGCCATAGGTTATGACTTGCATTTTTCACGTGGTTTCTAACTGCTAGGTTGGCAGAAGCTGGGACAAGTAACGGGAGCTCACTCCGTTACGCAGCACTAGGGATTCGAACCGCTGAAATGCCGACCTTTTGATCGACAAGCTCAGCATCTTAGCCACTGAGCCACCACATCCCTTAAGGAACAATTAGGTTGCTTCTAAAACAAGTGTGTGTGTTTTTAGCAGCAGGACCCAAACAATGAAAGGTGGGGTCTCTCATCTAACTTTGTTTCCACTTTCCTGCCCAGTGCAGCTATTGGGTCATTACTGCTGCCCTCACATACTTTTGAGGGAGATACCTTGCCTGGCATTCTTGTCAAATAAATCAGTTAGAGCAGGGGGTCCCCAATTCCCGGGCCAAGGCCTGTTTGAAACCGGGCCGTGTGAAGCTCCATTTATGCGAGTGGAGGACACACGCACACCACTCGCACAAATGGAGCTGTGTGCATGCATGTATGCCTGCCACACACATGCCCCTCCTCCCCACTCCAGGCTGGGCCACCAAGCTGGAAACGTTTGCCCCGCTGCGTTAGAGTGGCAGCATGGAAGCTTCCGGCCAGAGAATCCTACAACCAATGGCCTTATGTATGACTAAGAAAAAGATTACAAATCAGAAATAAATGTGATAATGTCATTTCCTGATCGTTACGGCTTTAAGATGATTTTAAAATTAAAAATTAAAAAAAAGACAAAATGCCAATCTTCCATTTTAACTTTAGACAATCGCATTCAAAAACAAATGAGGGTAGATAAAATAAGAAATACAATATTGGTTAAATCCTGAATCCCATCAGAATTGTTGTTGTTAAGTGGCGTGATCACGCGATCATTGTTAAGCAATGTTTGTCCCATTTTTATGACCATTCTTGCCACAGCTGTTAAGTGAATCACTGCGGTTAATAAGTTAGTAACCCGGTTGTTAAGTGAACCATTGACTTTGCTTGTCAAAAGGTTGCAAAATTTGTACTAGGCACTTGGATGTTTAGAAGCTGAATCCAGAAAAAATATGCCTTCTAGTTTAAAAGATGGAACAACACTGTCAACTCATCACACACTGTGAAACCTCTCCATTAGCTATCAATTTCTAATTCAAAGTCCTATAAACATCCAACATCTAATCACCTGAAAGATCATTTATTTCACTTTGAAGATCATCTCTTTCACTAAAGCTATAATAGTATTTGTATTTTGTGGAGAATAAGGGAGAATAGAACTCCATACCAGTGGTGAAATCCAAATTATTTTACTACTGGTTCTGTGGGCGTGGCTTAGTAGGCATGGTGTGGCTTGGTGGGGGTGGCTTGGTGGGGATGGCAGAGGGAGGATACTGCAAAATCTCCATTCCCACTCCACTTCAGGGGAAGGTTACTGCAAAATCCCCATTCCTTCCCCACTCCTGGGGGAAGGATATTGCAAAACCTCCCTTCTCACCCCACTCTGGGGCCAGCCAGAGGTGGTATTTGCCGGTTCTCCAAACTACTCAAAATTTCTGTTACCGGTTCTCCAGAACCTGTCAGAACCTGCTGGATTTCACCTCTGCTCCATACTAGTTACCATGCTGGCTTTTATAAAGGCATATTAAAATGTCTCTTTTTGCTAAATGTTGTCCTCGACTTACAATCACAACTGAGCCCAAAATTTTGGTTGTTAGGTGAGACATTTGTTAAATGAGTTTTGCCCTATTTTAGGACCTTTCTTGCCACAATTGTTAAGTGAATCGCTGCAGTTAAGAAGTTAGTGACCTGGTTGTTAAGTGAATCAGACTTCCCCACTGACTTTGCTTGTCAAAAGGCTGCAAAAGGGGATCAGCTCACATGACCTCCGGACACTGCAATGGTTATAAGTATGAACCAGTTGCCACCATCTGAATTTTGATCACATGGTCATGGGGATGCTACAAAGGTTGTAACTGTGAAAAATGTCAATTTTTTCAGTGTCGTTGTAACTTTGAATGGTCACTAAATGAACGTAAGTTGAGGACTACCTGTAATATGTAGCATTGTTTGGTGTTAGGATTTTGATTTCAACAGCTTGATTTCTGTCATTACTTTGTTATGATGCAATTTTAAATTTTTACAGGTGACCTTGAAATGTACATAATTTAGATTTTAGTTTCACCAAATGCATTGGATATTTAATTGATATCTGCAGATTCATGATGGTATCATAAAATTCAAGCCCACTTTACCTAGCAAGATTAATCCTGGCTTTTTGTCCACCGCTCAAAGTAGCTCCTCTGTCTCCAACCATTGTTAGGTCTCCATCTTCCAGCTGCTCAATATCCTATCAATAACAGAGTATTATTCAAATAAAAATGTTTGTGTTTGTCATTTTAATGATTTGAGAACCATCGTAAATATTATTAAGATGCATACGTTCTGTTCAAAAGGAGAACTCATTAATCAGAATTGCTTGGTAAGATTTTTACTCTCCGAAGAAGTGTGTTTATACAATTTATAAACCACTACAAATTAAATATGAATTTTAGGAAATGATGGGCAGTTTTCATAAGGCAAAACAAGATTATTAAAGAAGTGACCAACTGCATTTTTAGAAAATGTGTTTTGCAAAAGGTTTTAAACTGTCTGCTTTTCATCCATCTTCAGCCTGACAGTGGCATCATCAAATGCCATGTCCTGGATTTGATGCATAATATTTTTCAAGTTGCCAAACAAAATTATCTGTCTCTTGGCAATCTATTTTAATGTCCTAGATCACACCTGCCAAATCAAAGATAAAGTTGAAATGTTCTGAAGGATATTCTCTGAAACACAATGCCAGCTTAAGAAGCCAGTAGCATTTTTAGGAACAAAATATCCATTGCAATTTCTGTCTTCACTCTCACAAGTAGGGAATGTGAAAGATGTTCTAACCTGAATTATTTTCTCCTAGGATTTATTTTATGTCTTTTAAATGGGATATAGATAAATCTTGAAGTATTACAGCAGGGTATACAACCACAACCCCCAAAATTATCCCTGAGTTGAAAATTTTAATACGGCAATGGGGAAAAACCTAGTAAACACATATATATTATGAGTCGTTACATTTCATTAAATTCAATTAAAATTAAATTAAATTAAATCAAGTCAAATTTTGTGATGTTCTCTGTTCAGCTGCTTTAAGAGTGCTGCCCTGACCCCTCATTTAAAATTAAATGGGGCCTCATCCCAAAAAGGCCCTGTCTGCATAATTATTTATGATCCAGCCAATTTAAATTACAATTAAACATGGAGCTATTTTGCACAGTGCATGATGTCCTATATTTCACTGGCATTTTATCAATTCTTAAAACATTGTTTTATTTTGGATGTTGGGCTGGTTTTTGGGAATCCAAAGGCAATGAGGCTTCCATGAGGACCCTGTAATTTTCTATGCATAATGCTTTGGCAATTTTCATTGTCAAAAAATGAAAAACTAGATGTTCAACTCAAAATGTATTTAAAGATGTAGAACTTACTTTTTTAAGAGCACAGACTCTTAAAACCTTCTCATATTTTTCCTTTCGATATTCTTTTCCAAAGAGTATGTTATTTCTTACTGTGCCAGAAAACACCCAGGGTTGCTGAGAAACATAAGCTATTTTTCCTTGGACATCCATAAAACCTTTGATTGTAGACAGCTCACCCAGGACAGCACTCAAGAGTGAAGACTAGAAGCATAGGGTGGGGGGGGGGACAGGTTAAAACTATAAATACTGATGTCCACAACACACCTAAGACTTTCCATTCTTTTTACATGTAAGCACAATTTATTAGTATAACCAGAACTAAAGGTCCCCTTGGTTTTCTCGTTGTGTCATCTTATGGGCTTTTGTGCTTTCTCCTTCCATATCTGCAATAGCAATAGCACTTAGACTTATATACCACTTTACAGTGCTTTACAGCCCTCTCTAAGCGGTTTACAGAGTCAGCATATTGCCCCCAAGAATTTGGGTCCTCATTTTACCCGCCTCAGAAGGATGAAAGGCTGAGTCAACCTTGAGCCTGGTGAGATTTGAACTGCCAAATTGCAGGCAGCCAGCAGGCAGCAGTAGTAGCGTGCAGTACTGCAATCTAACCACTGCGCCACCATGGCTCAATAGATGCAATATGGGATTAATAGTAGCTAATACTAATTTCTATGTGAACCTAATTGGAGTTGGCTAATTGTTTTATTTGTATCTAGTCAGCTAACCCATTCTGGTACTTTATGCCAAAATGGGCTTTAGGATAAAATAAAAAAGGATATTCATTTATGGATAGTGAAAAGCATTTGATAACACAACATCTGTAATACAGACAAATATTTGTTACAGCAAACATTTCAAAAACAATTTTTTTAAAAAAGAAATTGCCTCATAGCTGCTTTTTATCTACTCTGATATGGATTATTTATTGGATTCCAATAAATAATATTTATTGGAAATATAATGGGGATTTTTAAAAACTTAAGAGAAGGAAATGGAAGTGATTTAGTATGTATCAAATAATTCATTACTCTATACCTTTCTATTCCTGTAAACCATCTTTAGTTCTCCTGTCCTGATGTCCTTCAAGAATATTTTATCCTTTTAAATTATTCAAGTCCCTTTTTTTTGACTCCATCCAACCAGAGTTTGGTTGTTCTTTCCTTTCTTAGGCCATGCACTCTCCCTTCGTATATTCAGTCCGTTTCTATTTGTTATGACCAAACCATTTCAACATACATATATTGATCCTTCACTTTTGTATTCAATCACAACATTCTTTCATCACCCATTCATTTTGAATCCCATGTGTTTATTGTTTAATTTAGAAGCAGTCCAACTTTCAGCTGACTCTGGGCAACTTACAACTATTTTTTTTTTTAAAAAAAAGAATTCAAGTGTCCAGAAGAGCAAAATACAAAAACCAAATATAACCAAAGTAAAACAAATTTTAAAAACCCCTAAAAGGCACTCCAAAGTCACTCTATACTCAACACCTAGGAGAACAGGCAGGTCTTGAATAATTCACAGAACAAAATAATGTGATACCATATGGTTCTTGATTCTACTCTCGATCCTCTCTTTTCTTATATTACCCCATATACACATTTCACAGCACTTAATTTACTTTTATATTTCTTTCACCATTCAGCTCTCATTTTCTTATAACTAAGAGGGCAGAAGCACACACTTATGCACAGCTATTTTCATTTCTTTCAAAAAACATTCATTCCTTGCAACTGATCATGCGTTACTAGTTCTGTAAGTACCACTCACTTCCACATGTTTGTATCTTAACATCCATCCCTTATAGAATCACAGAAAAACAGAGATGAAAGGGACCATGAGTATTTCTTATACATTTATTCATAGATCCTTTAAATAATCAAAGGGACATCTTTGTCTTATTTCTTCCACATTGTTTGAGTTCCCTAACAATAGACTTTTGTTACCACATTCAGTTACCATTCACATGCAATAACACTTCATATTCACATAAAATATTCTATTGATCAAGCCTATTCTATATCACCTGAAGATTGGCCACTTAATGAGAAGGAAGGACTCACTGGAGAAGAGCCTAATGCTGGGAAAGATTGAGGGCAAAAGAAGAATGGGACAACAGAGAACGAGGTGGCTGGATAGAGTCACTGAAGCAGTAGGCATGAGCCTAAATGGACTCCAGAGGATGGTACAGGAAGGCCTGGAGGAAGGTTGTCCATGGGGTCACAATGGGTCAGACACGACTTTGCAACTAACAACAACAAATTCTCTATCACATGCTTTCTCTAAATCAAAATACATTTTTCTCAGATTCATAATTTTTTTTAATGATTTGCAGGCTAGAAAAAAAATATCTGCTTTGTACATTCACTCACTGGCAAGAAGCAGGATTTCACTTCCCAAGTTTTGTTTGCAGAAAACTTTCAAACAAAACTCTGCCAAAGCACGTAAACTAAACATTAAAGCCTCAGTAGCTTTGTACCCATTCTTGCTACATGTCTCTTTGTATCAGGAAGCAAAACCATTCATCTTCTAATTACTTCCAGTTTAGCTTCTTTCTCTTCTTTGATTCCACACCCATATTTTCCCCAAATCTACTCCACACCACCAAAAATGACAGAATGTCTCATCACTATGTATTCTTCACCAATTCTTTCATATTTTAATCATGAACAATGAGGTCCATAATGATTTCTGATTCAAAATGAATAATAATAGTAATTTATTAAGGGTACCCTGTATATGCTACTCAACTCCCAGTGACACTGGGCAATTTGCTAATTGTTAAAAACTTTTAAAAAGAAAAAAAAACCCACAGAACCAAAAGTGACAGAGAAACACAATCCATATAGGAACAAAGAAAAAGAGGAAAAAGTGTCTTCAGTCATGCTTTGCCAAAAGTCTGAATGAAGATACATATCTGCTCGTTGCAGATTCATGAATAGACTGATGTTTAACTCATATCAGCGGTGAAATCCAGCAGGTTCTGGAGAACTGATAGCAGAAATTTTGAGTAGTTCAGAGCACTGGCAAATACCACCTCTGGCTGGTCCCAGAATGGGGTGGGAATGGATATTTTGCAATATCCTTCCCCCAGGAGGGGGGAGGGAATGGGGATTTTGCAGTATCCTTTCCTGCCACACCCACCAAGCCACACCACGCCCACCAAGCCATGCCCACAGAACCGGTGGTAAAAAAAATTGAATTTCACCACTGACTCATATCCATTCTTCTGAATTCTTTCCTTAACTCAGCTCAATTTCACAAGAGGGGGCTAGCTTCATCACATCTATTACATTCTTTCCTTTTCTATTTGTTGCACAGGTATAGATACACTGTTTTTCCTTCTCCTATTTCTTTCACTAATTCATGTTCTTTACCGTTTATTTTCCTTTGTTCCAAGTTGCAACCTTACCTCACTAGGTGAGCCAACAGATTGTGACTTCCACAAGCCATCCTGAATACGTCCCTCTGCCCCATATTACTTTTTAGCAAGATAGATAAGACAGAGATGAGCCTTAACCACACCCACCCATATTACCTGATAATGGGAAGGTCAGTATTGTCAGTTCTGACAAAGCCCAGTGTTACCTCATCCTACTCACTCTATACAAAAAGGGGGCTGTGAAAATATTTACAGACCCCTCACATCCTGGACATAAACTGTTTCAACTCCTACCCTCAAAACAATGCTATAGAGCACTGCACACCAGAACAACTAGACACAAGAACAGTTTTTCCTGAATGCCATCACTCTGCTAAACAAATAATTCTCTCAACACTGTCAAACTATTTACTAAATCTGCACTACTATTAATCTTCTCATCGTTCTCACCACCCATCTCCTTCCACTTATGACTGTATGACTGTAATTTTGTTGCTTGTATCCTTATGATTTATATTGATATTGTTTCCTGATTGCTTATTTGTACCCTATGACTATCATTAAGTGTTGTACCTTATGATTCTTGAGGAACGTATCTTTTCTTTTATGTACACTCAGAGCATATGCACCAAGACAAATTCCTTGTGTGTCCAATCACACTTGGCCAATAAAAAATTATTTTCTATTCTATCTATTCTACAAGTTTGGATCTCAACAGATTGAAACCCAGAGAGTGAACAGGAACAAAATGTCTGTTTTCAAATGCTTCAGAATGAACATCCAAGGGACAACATAATAGTAAAAAAATCAAGGCTTGCCTTTCCCGCTCCCACGGGGCCAATCACGGTGAGTAATTCTCCTGGTTTGACAGTAAATGAAATGTCTTGAAGTGTTGCCATTTCCATGGTCTATTTATTTGGGAAGAAATTAATTTGGTTTCACTGTATTATTTATGCATTTATTTATTTGCTTTCATTAACTGAATACAAATAAAGCAATATACATGTTTATGAAAAAAAATAGAAGAAAACTGAAGAAAACTAAACAAAAATACATTCATTGACTCTATTCATTGTTTTATGCCTTCTGTCAATCTTGGTTCCTGGTGACTACATTTATAGGAATTCCACACAAAATGTATAATCTGATTTAAGAGTATTACTCTTTCCCCAAGTGTAAGGTTTAATCACTCCCATCTATCAAGATCCAAAGAATAATTATCTGTGAAATATCACATGGGATTAAAAAATGCAGGATTCCTAATATATTAAAAAATACATTAATTATAGATATGAAACTAATAATTGTTTATAAAATGAATAGATTTTTTCCCTTATGGTCTGATTAAAATTACTTCTTGCAAGATAAATAAGACAACCTTAGACTGTCTACTGTTGACCTCACCCCATTCCTAAGAGGTCTGTAAGAGGCGTGCATAAGCGCACCAACGTGCCTACCATCCCTGTTCTAATGTCCCCTTTTATTCATATCCATTTCATGTATTAATAATCATGTTTATACTTATATGTTATCTAATACATGCTTGACAAAATAAATAAATAAATAAACAGACACAAGCCTTAACCACACACACCCATATTACTTGATAATATACTTAATTCATACCTTTCTCTTGTAAACAAGAAAACCCCAAAGAAAAATTAGAAATAATATCAATTTTATTCAGACCATAAAGTAATATAAGCAGCAAGAAATCAGCATGAGAAAATGTTATTCATGTTCAGAAATAAGAAACAATTACCATTCTATTGCCATTATATTGACTTCTCGTCATCTTTTATTTGATCCAGGTACCTTGAATGTTACTAAATGTTAAACTTGATTGGATTTAAAGCAATAATCAAGTTTCCAGTAAAGGTTCGTATTAAACATAACCCATTGTTTCTAAACCTAAAATACTGTTCCACCAGGATGACAGACAGAAATAATGGGCCACTGGCCTTCTTAAACTTTATGCTTTAATCTCCACAAGGTGGCGAAAATAGCTCACTTTATTCCTTTTTTACTGCTTCTAAGGACTTTAAACTTTCTGTTTAAAGTCAACTTTCTGTTTAAAGTTATACAATCAAGGTTTTTCCTCACTTTGACCTGTCTTCAACAGAAGCAAGCCACTTTCAGCCAACTGCAATGTAACTTATATATAATTATACAATATGGAACATGGTTGTCAGAAAAAGAAAACAGGAAAAAAAAATCTATCAACATAATATGTGCTTTGTAAAAGGTATGCTTGCACCACAAGGATCTTAAAAGGAACGTCTGACTGAACCTCAGTATATAAGGTGTCAGGCCTGGAAGCCATCTTTTTCGTTGGCTCTTCAGGCCTGCCACATTTAGTACTGTGGGGAAACTGGGAGGTGGGGTTGTATGGAGCCAGCGTGATATATAGTCATAATAACATTCCTTTCTCAGAGAGTCAAGGACATCTTGCCCTGCACCTGGAAGGCTGTAACTAGGAGGCATCTCCAGTTGGGATGGTGTTTGGATTGGACCATGTGATGGACATGTGGGTGTTGGGCAGGGACTTGAACTTTCCTTTGGGTGGGAAAACCTGGAAGCTTTCAGATTTGGGTTTTCCCAGATGTGCCAATATGACATCTCTAATAAAATGGAATTTGCACATTCCTTTCAAGCTCCCCGTTGAATTCTAGGGAAAAACCTTCCACCCTGACCTGGGGCTCTAGCTCTTCCAGGGATGTTTAGGGAAAGGAACGTGAGCAGAGAAAGAGAAAAGGATAAGCAATTGGAATTAGTGTTGCTCCTCACTCCTCTTCATTTCCATCAATAATAATAATAATAATAATAATAACAACAACAACAACAACAACAACAACAACAACAACAACAACACTAATACTACATTTAAGATCATAAATGCCAAACAAGAAACTTAAATGGAGGCTACACTTCAGAGAAGGTGTAACTCCTTTTTATACAGTCAGAAACGTCATAAAATAACATCCTGGCTTCCTAATTAGATTTGTGTTTTCCTGCAAAAAGGATAGAATACTCCTCATTAGCCTTATCAATCTAATCTCTTTCCTTTCTTTCTCTTTTTCTTTCTCTCTCCCCGCGCCCCCCCCCCACCCCCTTCTCTTCCTGTTCGGTGTCAGGGAGACAGGATCAGGTATAGAGAAATTTCCACCCCTCCCCTTCCTTCTCCTAACAAGCGCCTGAGGCTGTTTAGCCTTGTCCTAGTTAACACCTTCCCTTTTCTGGGAATTTTCCTCGCTGTTAGAGGCACCAAAATAACTCAGATGATATAAGGTCTTCTGCTAGAGCAGGGGGTTGGACTAGAAGACCTCCGGGGTCCCTTCCAGTCTGAATCTACGTCTAGTTATAATAACGTCTGGGAACCCCACCTGTTGGATCCCTCGTCCTCTACTGCCCCCTCCCCTTGTCTTTTGTGCCTGGATCCCTCGTCCTTTACAGCCCCCCTCCCCCACCCCCCACCCCGCTGCTCTTGGCAGCCTCAGGAGACTCTGAACTGACAGCGCTAGTAACAAAATATCTTTGCTGCCTCCCAGCCCCGTCTTCCACAGGGAGAGGCTCTGGGAACCTCTACTGGCCCCCTCCCCCCATCTTTTGTGGCTGGATCCCTCCCCCGCACTGCTCTCAGCTGCCTCGAGAGGCTCTGGACAGAACCTCCCTCTGAACTGCAGCCCCCGCTCTACTCCCAAAGCCCCTGAGCCCCTGCACTGATTGGCTGTCCTCTGCGCCCAAAAGTCCAACGTGAACTATACTGCGATGAATGGGCCGCGGTGAAGGGGATGGAGGAGCCGTGGCCCAAAGTGCCGAGGCGTAATAACGCGGAGGCGAAACCCTGGTAGAGAAACAGGCAGCACCAAGAGTTCCAGCCGAAAAGTCCCATTCCGCCTGCTATAGGTCATATTGGTTATGAAAGCAACATTTTTCATTGTATTACTGAATGTGTTTTATTTGGAAGTGGGGAGAAAAGCTCTTTTAACAACAACCTGAGAGGGGAAACAACTGCTGCTTGTCGAGAGATAGCCATCACTATCTCCAAATTTTGCATCCTTTAGCTGGGGCTGCAAAAGTAGACCAATTCTGTATTGCAGTTCAAAATAGGTGAGTTACCTTGTCCCAGGCGCAAGTCAAATGGTGTACGTTAAGGAAAGGACTTTCAATGTTACTTCTGAGTTGTGGTTTAAACTGAGAAATTTCATCAAGGATTAGAAAGTTCTGCATCAATGGGGAAAAAAAGAAGATCGTATAAACACAAAACAGAAAAGACTAATTTATTTTTTGCTGAAATACGTTCACACAATCAAAGGCTTTCAATATATTCAAAGAGCATATCCATAGGGAAACTGAGTTAATTTTACAAAAAGAGTTTAATAATTTTCTGACCAAGTCAATCTTTCTTTTTAAATAAATACACTCTGATCTAGATTTATATTATTATTAATTTATGATGGTTAACTAATAGTTTAGTTTATAATTTACAATATTTCATGTATAGCAAATGAAAATCTGATTATCAACAGGAACAAAAGGTGGCTTTCTAACTTTATCCTGTTATTTCACATATCTAAGTAGCAGTTCTGATTTCACTTCACACAGCCTTCTGCAAAGATAGGCACTGAATCCTACCTACTATATCCCACCCTCAACTGGGCACACCAAAAAAGAAGATTTAAAGAACTGCACTATAATATATAACAGAATAATAGAGTTGGAAGGGACTTTGAAGGTCTTCTAGTCCAACCCCCTGTACAAGCTGGAGACCCTATACCCATGAGGGCGAACCTATGGCACGCGTGCCATGGGTGGCACGCAGAACCTTCTCTGCGGGCACGCCAGCTGTCGCCTCAGTCCAGCTCCACCGCGCATATGTGGTGCATCCCGCCAGCCAATTGGTCTTTGGGTCTCTGCTGTGCACTTGCGGGAGGTGGGCATATACGCAGGGGGGGCAGGTTGGTGCAGGAGGCTTTCCAGGCCCAAAACGGGGTGCAGGGGGGCTGCGCGAGCTCTCCCATGCCCCATTTTGGGCCTGGAAAGCCTCCTGCACCAACCTGGAAGCCAAAATGGGGCACGGAGAGTGAGGCACATGCGCGGGGGTCACTCGCATGACATTTTGGGGGTTTGGCCACACGTGCATGCATTCTCGCACACATGCGAGCGCTTTGGGCACTCGGCACCAAAAAGGTTAACCATCATTGCCCTATATCATTCTGGACAAATGGCTGTCCAATCTCTTCTTAAAAACCTCAACTGATAGAGCACCCACAATTTCTGAAGTCAACCTCTTCCACTGGCTAATTGTTCTCACTATCAGGAAACAAGTAATGGGTGGAAGATTGTTAAAGAAAGATCCAACTTAGAACTAAGAAATTTCCTGACAGTGAGATCAATTAATCAATAAAACAACTTCCCACCAGAAGTTCTGGGTGCTCCATCACTGGAGGTTTTCAAGAAGACATTGGGCAGCCATTTGTCTAGAATGATATAGGGCTCCTGTTCAAGCAAGTGGTGGGACTGGAAGACCTCCAAAGTCCTTTTCAATTCTATTATTCTATACTTCTATTCTAAGCCATTAAGGGTCAGAGTATTATAATGGCCTCATAATGCCTGATACAGTGAAATTCTCAAATGCAAGACCTTTTCTTTCTCTGGTAGCCCTGGCATTGGATTTTCCAACCTGTTTTGTCAAAGGCCTGGTTCTCTTGTTAATTTTTGCAGAGGTGCTAAATGTGCAGTTCCTGGGTTGAACAAAGGCTATCATCATTATTTAGCAGGTTTCTAATGCCTTCTTACAGTGTCTGGGTCAAGATATTTAGTGGGATTGTTCATAAATTTCATTACAGATCCAAATAATGGAAGTGAAGGAGACCTTAGCAATAGAATCTACTTGCTGTTTATTGATCAAGGGTGACTAAAAAAGTCTTGCACTGTTATTCTGTATTTTTTATTCTATATTATTCTACATTATTCTGCAGTTTTTTTTCTGTATTTTTCCGTGTATTTCAAATTATCTGATAAAACTGTACCCCTATTCTTGTCTCTAATCCATAATTATTCCCATTACCTTGAAAATCATTTATGCTCATTCAGTTAAACATCCTTAGTCAATAAAAAGCACCATAAATTCAACCTCTAAGCAGTTAATCATCCGCAACAATTAAGAATTACCCTTAGGGAATTACATAAGGCAAATATTTATGCATTCTCTTTCTCTAGCTATAAAAGACAGAGGGGCTGCCTGAAAGGAAAAGCATGAGCTACCAACTTGTTAATTATTTCTAATGCTGCAACTTAATTCAACTGAATGTCCCCTTTGGATAATACCTTGATTCGTCTAATGCTGACCAATGCTTCAGATACTTTCTCAATGGCCGCCGGGAAGAATAGAGTGACTGTCAGCCTCACTGCACCATACAGAGAGACAGCGACAAACACCCGACTCGCTGAAATCAGATTGCCAAGCAACACGTAGGTCATGAATGTCATAAACACTGTGATTTTGCTGGCAATGAAGAAGGATGCCAAGTTCATTCCACGAAGGTAAGAACTCTTAAGAACCACCGAAATCTCCTTTCTGAAATTGAATTTTTTAATAATTTTGATAAAACACGTTACGCATTTATGTATTGCAAGTATTTTTAAGCCACTTCAGCCAAGCACATCTGAAATATTTTAAGTGACCATAAAGCCCGCAATATTAAAGAAAATCAATTCAGCATCAGCAATGAAATGTCAAAACAATAGTAGCGTATATACCACATTATCGACTCTACAATGCCTTAAGCAGCCAGGTCCAACTCCATCTCAGCTATGGAAGCACAGCAACTTCCTGTTTGGATTACTTCAGTGCATTCTGCCTGGAGCTGCCCTTGTAGACCATCCAAAAGTTACAACTGGTCCAGAATGCCGCAGTATACATAGGATTGGGCACCTCTTGGTTTGCCAATGTAATGCCCCTATTGACTGAGCACCACTGGCTTGGTTTCCTTCTGGTTGCAATTCAAGGTGCCTGTTATCACTTTTAAAGCCCTACATGGCATAGGCCCAGGTTACTCAGGACCACCTCTTCCTGAGACCTTGCCCCTCCCACTAGGTCAGGGGTCAGCAACCCATGGCTCTGGAGCAGCATGTGGCTCTTCCATCCCGCTGCTGCAGTTCCCTGTTGCTGGTTGGCTCCACAATGATAGAGCTTTCGGTTAGGACAGGTAGAGGAAAAAGGACGCCATGCTAGGAGGAGACTTTATGGTGGGGGAACCGGACTTCCGGTCAGCTCCAGAATTGAACGGAGGGCTTCCAGTTAAGACCTTTGTGGCTCTTCGAGTGTTTAAGGCTGCTGACCCCTGCACTAGGTCATATAAAATGGCCATGCTCCAGATACCTTCCCTGAAACAGTGCTATCTAATGGGACTTAATGGGACCTAGCAAGCATGCCTTTTCCATGGCTGTCCCTGCCTTATGGAAAACGTTCTCCTCAGGCAAGCCTTCATCCTCTTAGCTTTCCAGAAGGCCATTGAAACCCTAGCTCTTTGCCCAGGCACTAGGATAGAGTAGTGGAGACTATGCCGGGGGGGGGAGTTGGGGCACCCTAGGAGGTTGATTAAGGTAGCAATAGCACTTAGACTTCTGTATCTCTTCATAGTGCTTCACAGCCCTCTCTAAGCTGTTTACAGAGTCAGCCTATTGCCCCCAACAATCTGGGTCCTCATTTTACCAACCTCGGAAGGATGGAAGGCTGAGTCAACCTTGAACCGGAGAGAATCAAACCGCTGGCAGTCAGCAGAATTAACCTGCAGTACTGCATTCTAACGACTGCGCCACCATAAACCTTACATATTACAGGAAGAGATGCTGTATGATCAAGGGGAAAACAGGTTTTCTTTACCCCCATAACATTCTCAGATTTTTTTGTTGTGACTCAAAAAATCCTGCATTGCAAAATACCACCCTCTAGTTTAAAATCAGATAAAAACAACAACAACATGGGTATAGAATTTCTGTGAGATACAAAATCACCTTCTCATGTTGTTCACAAGTTCAGCAAATGACTTTTCCCAGGCGTACATCTTTATGATCCGCATTCCAGTTATAACCTCATTCATAGTCCTGATCCTTGCATCTGTGAAGGCTGCAGTCCTACTCCTGAAATAGAAATAGGAAGCTATAAACTTTTTTTTTTAAAAAAAACACCTCTAATTCCAAATTCATAAAGACTATTATTCAGACATTTTCATTTATCTAATGTGAGAATTTCTGTGCTACATTCAATAATTAAAAAACATTCTTCCACAACCCCCCCCCAAGTAAAAATTAAGGAATACAGATATAAAGGTGTAGTGAACAAAACTGAAAACCCATGTGTGAATGAACTTAAGATGCTTGTGAAAAAAAAAAATGTAGTGGATTCTTTCACACAGCATTAATAGCCATACTGCTTACTGAAGATAGTGAAGATATACATAAGCGAGGATTGGGACTGGCCAATCCTTATGTAATACTCCCATAGACATCTATGGGAGTATTACATCCTAGTAGAACACCGGTGTCAAACTCGTGGCATCACGTTGCTGTCATGTGACATATTGTGACCTTTCTTTCCCTTTGCGGAGCTGGGATGGGCATGGCCTGCGTGTGACGCATCTGGCCCACAGGCCGCCAGTTTGACACCCGTGTAGTAGAAGGTGTATAAGTGTAGAATAAATAGAAACAGCTAAGAGAATCTATTGCCTTTTGCCTATTCTCAGGAGTAAAGCTGAGAAAGTGAGCAAGGGACAAAGATGACTGCTTGTTCACCATCTATCCTCCTTAAAGTTAATGAGAGACTAATAATAGCAACAAGGAACTACAGTCAGCTAATAGACTGCCATAACAACCAGAAACGATTAATGGAATAAGATGTACCGTATTTTTCGGAGTATATGACGCACCTTTTTACCCCCCTAAAAGGGGGTGAAAATTTAGGTGCATCTTATACACCAAATGTAGCCCCGCCCACCCACTGGCCCCCACCCTTTGGCCTCTGCCTCGCAGCAGTTACCTCCTTGCAAGCAAACAGCAAGGAAAAACAGCTTTCAGCTTCAGCCCAGGCTAATTAGCACAAGTTGATTGGATCAGCCTCCCGACTCTCAGCTGATTTGCTCTCACAGCTGTTTTGCGCAGGGCTCAGCTGCTTGCTGCAAAGAGATAAATTGCTGGAGCAGATTTTTTTTTTCCTTGTGATAATCAAGATATGCTGAAAACGAAAATGAAAGTAAAGCAGGCTGTTTGCTGCCACGAGGCAAAATTGCTCAGAGGCAGAGGGAGATTTCTTTTTCTTCTTTTCCTCACCAAAAAAGGTAGATGCGTCTTATACTCCGAACAATACGGTAATTTAGAATTTATGGAATTTGTATATAGATAGATAAATAAGGGTAACATAATAGAAAAGTACATAGATGGAGTTAAAAGTAGATATACCTTCAAGGATAACTTAAGAGCAGACTCCAAACTTATGAACTCTGCTCCATTTGTCCAGGATGGTATAAAGATTCCTGCCTTGGGCAGAGGGCTGGACTCCAAGGTCCATTTCAGCCCTATAACTTCTATATGTTTTGTCTCTTGCTGACTAACAACAACAAAGTAATCAACTACTAGCTGCAGTGCGGAAGGTCACGGATTATTGAGAAATGTCCTTTAATAGATAAACAGAAGAGCAAGTTTAATATTTCACAGTGCTGGAATTCTGCTCATGAATATTTGCCAGATCTCAGGCTTAATACCAAATATCTTTATGCAGGCATCTAGCTAAAAACGAAAATGTAGATATATTGATTTTCTTGTTTGCTTTTTTTTTTTATATTTACTTTGATTACCAATAAAGGAGATCACTGCAAAATGATAAGGAGTGCAAAGTTGAAAAGTCTTAAATTCCAGTTTAAAATGCAAGGATTATGTAGGATAACATCCATAAGACAGCAAACATACCGTCCTGAACAATTCGGCAAAATGCTGGAAATATTAATAAAATTACCTAATGCAGTAATAATCATAATAATTTGAAACTACTGAAATGAAAACATGTTATACATTTTTAAATCGCATAACTAAATGAATTGGCAAATTAACTATCATAAAGAATATGCCCTAAGAGGATGGAAATTCAACCAGGGCACTGTATAATCTGGTATCTTTAAAAACATGAAGTCTCCACTTTCTCAAAACATCCTTGTTTTGCTACAGAATTTAAAACATTCCACAGCCTGGCTGACCTAAGAGTCACACAAAACTCGACCTCGAAATACTTGCAGAAGTAACAGCTAGTCCCAGGTCTACATTTCTAATCTGAAGATTTGCAATTATGGAATACAATTGTATATTATATACAATTACAAGTATAAAGTAGCCCAGAAAGACCCAAGAACCTATTTTGTAGGGGGGGAAATTGAGAAATATTTTCCACCTTCCGTTCAAATTCAGGTAATCCTTGATTTACGGCCACAATTGAGCCCAAAATTTCTTTTGCTAAGTGAGACAATTGTTAAATGAGTTTTGCCCCGTTTTACAGCCACAGTTGTTAAACGAAGCACTTGCAGTTGTTAAATTAGTAACATGACTGTTAATCTGGCTTCCCAATTGACTTCGCTTGTCAGAAGGTTGCAACAGGTGATCACGTGACCTTCCAACGGTCATAAATACATGCCAGTTGCCAAGCTTTAAAGATTTTGATCACATGACCAATGGGATGCAATGGGATGCTAGAACAGTTGTATGAAAAACAGTCATAAGGCACTTTTTTCAGGGCCTTTGTAACTTCGAACGATCACTGAATGAATGGTTCTAAGTCATTCTAATACAGGACTACCTATATTATCCATGTCTTCTCTGAGTTCTATGTTCCTCTCATTTCTAGATTTTCTTCTTCATGTCCAAGGTTTGGCATCTCACCATATCTACCATTTTTATATCGCAAGGCCTTTTTCCTAAAGTCTGGCTGAACATTAAACACATAGTATCTTTAGAGTTTAGTTTAGACAAGAATCCCAGGCACAGACAAAATGCCCCGGTTCATGGGATCACCATTTGCAAGCTTCCCTGAGGGCTTCTGAGGAGCAAACTCAATGCGGGAAGTCAGATCTGCTAAACAACTTGATTCACTTAATGACTGTTGTAAATTGGGGATGACTCTTAATGACTGCGCCCAAAGTTCTGATAACTTTTGTGGTCATAAATCCAGGGCTTGAAAGAAAGAATAGCACTGACTGGTCCACAGTTGAAAGGGATGTCTCAAATTGGAAGCTAGTTGCCTTCCAGATGTTTTCAACAGTGATCAGGTACAGAATACAAATTAACAGAGTTGGAAGGGACCTTGTAGGTCATCTTGTCTAACCCCCAACGAAGCAGGAGACCCTATACCAGTGATGGTTAACCTTTTTGGTGCCGAGTGCCCAAAGCAAGCGCACACACGCATGAATGCACACGCGCGTGCCACAATCCCCAAAATGCAATGTGAGCACCCCCCACGCATGCGCCCCGCACATGCATGCACGTTCCCTGCGTATGTGCCCCGCACATGCATGCACGTTCCCTGCTCATGCGACACCCTCCCCACGCATGCACACTGGGCCCCCGTTTTGGCTTCCAGGTTGGTCAGGAGGCTTTTCAGGCCCAAAACAGGGCACGGGGGGACTTGTGATCTCCACAGTTTCTCCCCCCATTGAATCCTAACTGCCTCCTGCCTTCTTGCCTTCCGTGCCTTCTCCGATCTTTACAGTTTCTACCCCCATTGCATCCTAGCTTTCTCCTGCATTCCTGCCACGGAGATGCACCTGCGGAGGGTGGAACCTGCGGAGATCAGGGATGGCCCCGCCCCCGTGCATGCGTGGCAGAGACCCAAAGACCAGCTGGCTGACGGGAAGTGTACGCATGTGCGGTGGAGCTGGGCTGGGCCGATGGCTGGCGTGTCTGCAGAAAGGGCTCTGCATGCCACCTGTGGCATGCGTGCCATAGGTTCGCCATTGCAGCCCTACACCATTTCTGACAGATGGCAGTCCAATCTCTTCTTGAAAGCTTCCAGCTCCCAGAACTTCGGAAGTCAAGCTGTTCCATTGGTTGATTGTTCTCCTTATTTCTAGGTTGAATCTCTCCTTGATCAGTTTGCATCCATTATTCCTTGTACATTGGAAAATAGCTTGACCCCCCCTCCTCTCTGTGGCAGCACACTCACATTTCTGGTGCTGGGCAAACCGGTTGTTACAGTATGTGACGTCCATCTCTGCACATACTAATAGTTCTGCATCAGCTAGCCCATCCTCTCTTGCTCTGCTTGCAGCCTCCCAGACCTGGAGGAGACTAAAAAGCAGGGCAAGGAGGACAGAAGGACAGGGTTGTATTGCTTGAGGCCTTTTTGCTCTCTGCAGCTGTTGGGTGAGAGAATGGCCGCTTGGGGAAATGGAGCAAATGAGAGAAGCAGCAGCAAATCCAATCCACTGACAGGACTGAAGAATGCCTGTGGCCCCCAATGGCATGGCTGCCTTCTTAAGCACCCTGATCTGCCAGCTAGGAGGAAGGGGCAGAACTGAGGTGGGCGCTGCAAGTTCTCTGCCAGGCCCCAGAAGCCCAGGAGCTAACTGTGGCCAACTTTTTTTTTTTAACTTTTAAAAGCATTTCGGCCGAAGAGGTTGTAAAAAAATATTTTTAAAAGACTCTGATGATCAGGCAACTCAGCTTTTAAAAGGCTCTGACGATCCCAGCTGAGCCGCGTGATCATCAGAGGCTTTTTTTTTTTTTACTTTTAAAAGCATTTTTTCAGCCGCACAATCATCAGAAACTTTTTTTTTACTTTTAAAAGCATTTTTTCTACAACCTCTTTGGCCAAAAAAATGCTTTTAAAAGTAAAAAAAAAAAGCCTCTGATGATCGCGCGGCTCAGCTGGGATTATCAAAGGCTTTTAAAAGAAAAAAACCATTTTTTTCTTTTAAATGCCTCTGACAATCCAAGCTGAGTTGCCTGATCGGCAGAGGCTTTTTTAAAAAACTCAGCTTGGATCGCCAGAGGCATTTAAAAGAAAAAAAGGGGGTTTTCTCTTAAATGCCTCTGACGATCCCAGCTGAGTTGCCTGATCGGCAGAGGCTTTTTTTAAAAAGGGATTGTCAGAGGCATTTAAAAGCATTTTTTACAACCTCTTCGCCGAAGAGGTTGTAGAAAAGATGGTTTTAAAAGTAAAAAAAAAAATTGGCCATGCCCACCCAGTCACATTACCCCACCACCACCAAGCCATGCCCACAGAACCAGTAGTAACAAATTTTAGATTTCACCACTGGTCAGCAGGGTTATTGTCCTTTAAGAAGCTGTTTATATAAAGAAGGTCATTAGAGGGCGTCACTCTCTCTCCTCATGTATCACTCATTCTCCTCATGTATCTGCATTGCAGTTCTCCGTGTAGAGTTGAAGAAGAACGATTGCTTCTCTGGCATGTGCCTACCACTTGTTTGTCTGTATATAGAAGCCTGTATATAAACCACTGTTTGTAATGACAAAACCTCTGTGTCCTGTATTTTGCTCCTGGGTTGTCTCAAAATAGTAGTCACGCTGTAAACACTCTGACAATATATAACCTTTAAAAAACACAGACTAGAAGACTTAACCATGCTGAGTTGAAAGAGGTTTTTTTTAATCACTCTGAAGGGACAGGACCCCAATCACTCTTACCTCAGAGCTGAGAAGAGTCTGCCAATGCAGGTTTGCAAGGGAAGAAGAATAATCAGCACCGCCATTCCTGCAAGGCAGGACGGGCCAATCTCAAGCCACAGAAGGACAGTCACAGCTATCGCCTGAAGGGGTCCAGCCCATAAGAAATGCAAGAAAATAGTTACCTAGGCAAAAAAGAAATACACATGACTCACGAAATGAACTGGAAGTAGAAAAATCATGACAGCTACCGGTGCAGTCCACACATTTCTCGCGTGCGTGAGGGAAAGTCTTGTGGGACCCAGAAATAATCCATAACTGGATATATTAGGTTATATCAGGGGTGAAATCCAAAATTTTTCCCTACCAGTTCTGTGGGCATGGTTTGGTGGGTGTGGCAGGGGAAGGATACTGCAAAATCTCCATTCCCACCCCACTCCAGGGGGAAGATATTGCAAAATCTCCATTCCCACCCCACTCTGGGGCCAACCAGAGGTGTTATTTGCCGATTGTCCGAACTATTCAAAATTTCCGCTACCGGTTCTCCAGAACCTGTTAGAACCTGCTGGATTTCACCCCTGGGTTGTATACTGTATATTAAAAAGTTGTTGTTTTCCTACATTTAAGAAAACCTTCACATGACACAAGTTTCATGCTGTCTGGTTTTTGAGTGTTCTAACCCATATCTCATGAAACCAGCATACATACTTTTAATCTATACAAAATCATCTACAGGCAGGGCTTAACCAAGTGAGCTGCCCAAGGTAAAATAATGAACTTTGCACTTAGCTGACCTTGAATGATCTAAAAAAAACCTAAGCACAGTCACACCTGGTTCATACTTTCTTGGCTACCATGAAATATCAGAACTATGCAAGATTGAATTTGGGTCAATCACCGGGACTAGAGATTTACTCTTCCAAGTTTTTGGACTCATGCTGGAGTTCACCTTCAGGGAATTTCTCTCTACTGAAATACATGCTTTGGGCTGTTCTGTGAGTCGTGTTTATGTGGTGCCTTCCTAAACACGACTCAGGATTGTTGTCGTGGGAAAAATAGGAGAAGGAAGGTGTGTTGGATATGTTTGCCACCTTGAATTATTTGTAAAAATAATAAAGGTGGGATATAAATATATAAAAAATAAAATTAATAAAAATAAACCCTCCACCTCTATTGCACTCCCAACCACACAAAAAAAGAGAGAAGAAAAAGAACAAAATCCTCTTTAAGATTAGAGACTACTGTATAAATTATTCTTATCACAATCCTCAATTCAATTGGAAATCAAACTTCATCGCAATATAAGACACACCCCACAAAGGATTCTACACAGTCTTTTAAAAGATTTTTATCCACTGCATACACATACAAGCAAACCCAAGAACTTTCATTCTATTTTGCTATGAATAAAAAGAAAAGGCCACTACTTAAGATCACTCTTAAACTACATCATTCAAAAAGTATGTTTCCCACAGGGCTTACCTGATCAAATTTATTCACATCGTTTGATAAAAGATTTACTATCTGACCAGTTGTAGTTTTTGACATGGCTGCATTACTCAAACGAAGTGCCTAAAAGCAGAAACAAACTTATTCAAATGTCACATTCATACATTGAATCGTATATAGTCACAGCATTTTCCCAACTTAGGTACTTTTTGTCTTTTTGGAAAAAATCCTTCTTTTAAAATTACATATATTACTCAAAAAAGTTTCCAAGATGCAATAATCACCTTATGTAAACAATGTAAGATGATACAGACTCCAAAAATCAGGATCAAAAGGTTCAAATTTGAATAACATATAGTGAAAAAGAGGACCATGACATGTCATACTGAGTTACATTATGTGAATCTGCCTTTTTGGTCTATAAATCGTGGTTTATGTCTAGACTGTTGTGTGAATCTAGATAGCTACGATTTATTGAATTTACTTTTGAGTCACATATGAACCCAACTTCTCCAGCACTAGCAGTGATCATATCATTTGCACTTGCTAACTCTTTGGATCAGAACAGCACTGTAATTTCTCTTTTCCAATGTACAGTATTTCTACATTAAGTAGAATAATATAGATTGTTATACTTAATGCTAAAGCTATTTTTGTACCATTTGATTCTCCTTTTTTAATAGCATTTAATTTGGTCCACTTTGCAAGATTGATTTACCTCAAGGAAGAAAAGTTTAATAAATCTACTTTGCACGCCTCAATGTTTTATGGTCAAGATATGATTTCAGGACAATATATTTCTTTTACATGGTTTTTCACTTTTCCTTAGTAGCTGCCAGAAAATAAAGCAGAGTGTTATTCTCATTCAAATGTCAGGATTGAGAGGAAGGCACTCCACAGAAGAAAGCAACAATGAAAGTATCCAGCTACTATTCTAAGAGGCAGAGGCAGAGTTAGGATGCAATTGTCAAGAATATTTGTGGCAGAGAGGAATAGAGCTCTCTTCCACTCTATGGGTCCCCCCAAGCAACTACAACAAGGTCCAGATCCTTTTCTCAGCCCCTGAATTATTGCCTCTTTTCATGCTAACAATAGCTATTCTTTTGACCCTTTGCAGCTCTCTCATCTGCAAAAGAAATAACGTTTCTCTTCTATCAAAGAATCCTCAGAAACTCAGGATGCTGGGATCAGTTCTTCCTTTTGCAATGCCATACTCTGTCGAACCCCATGGCCACAGCTTTTCCTGTTCTAAGGATTTGTTTAGAAATGCAGATAGTCCTCGGCTTACGACCACAATTGAGCCCCAAAATTTCTGTTGTTAAGCAAGATGTTTGTCAAGTGAACTTTTCCCCCACTTTACGACCTTTCTTGCCACAGTCGTTAAGTGGATCACTGCAGCTGATAGAAGTTGTTAAGTGAACCTGGCTTCCCCATTGACTTTGCTTGTCAGAAGGTCGCAAAGGGGATCATGTGACCTTGGGAGACAGCAACGGTCATAAATAGGAACCAGTTGCCAAGCATCTGAATTTTGATCACGTGATCATGGGGATGGGGCAAAGGTCGTAACTGTGCAAAATGTTCATAACTCACATTTTTCAGTGCCGTTGTAACTTTGAAGGGTCACTAAATGAACTGTTGTAAGTCAAGGACTCCCTGTATCATCTTCTGCTCTAGGAAAAAAGGCTACGTCAGAAACTGAGGAAAGTATTTTGGGGAATCTACTTCAGATATGGGGATGTGGCGGCTCAGTGGCTAAGACGCTGAGCTTGTCGATCGAAAGGTCGGCAGTTCAGCGGTTCAAATCCCTAGCGCTGCATAGCAGAGTGAGCTCCCGTTACTTGTCCCAGCTTCTGCCAACCTAGCAGTTCGAAAGCACGTAAAAAATGCAAGTAGAAAAATAGGGACCACCTTTGGTGGGAAGGTAACAGCGCTCCATGTGCCTTCGGCGTTTAGTCATGCCGGCCACATGACCATGGAGACGTCTTCAGACAGCCCTGGCTCTTCACCATAGAAACGGAGATGAGCACCACTCCCTAGAGTCGGAAATGACTAGCACACATTTGCAGGGGTACCTTTACGTTTACCTTACTTCAGCTAAAAGAAAGGAGTCAATTTCTCTCTGTGCCCTTCTCATACAACAATGCTGGCAACATTTTAAGGACATAACTCCTGCTTGTGTTTCTCCACGCTATGGTGCATTGTCTGAGAATTACAAGCCTAGCAAGAACTTTACACAGTGGAACAACTTGTATTCACTCACAGTCCTTGCTTTCCATGCTAACCATGAGAACCAATTCACAGAGTCAAATCACTCTTCAGGATCTTTGCTTTTTTAAAAATTTAACAGTAGTATGAGCATTACATAAAATAATAAATAAATGTAAGGAAGTTTTAGAAATGGAAATAATTTTGGAATATAAACACGTTTGAACTGTATTGTTAATAGTGAGGATTTAGGATAAGAATTGTGAAATGTATTATGAGGTATTAATTGAATTAAGATTTAAGGTGGGTTAATAGAAGGGTAATTATATTGATTAAGTAAATATGAGTAAACTTTTTCTAAGATGGTATTAGTTGAAATATGTGGTTTAAGATTAAGAAATAAGTGTTATGGCAAAATAGAATATATAAAATTTTGTTAAAGATGACAAAAAAATTGAACAAATTGATGACCAGATCAAAGCTCTGTTCCGAAAAGATGTAATTTGTATGTTTGAAAAAAATTAAAAGATTTAACAGTAGTGTCACTCAATAGCTATATTCTGTAGAAAACCAGTTTTTCTTGTCCTGATAGAACTTTAACCCAGAGGTATGATAAATACCTACCAAGCTCAGATCTGATATCAGAAGCTTTATCCTTGTTTTAAAATGTACAAAGCATTTAAGTATGTCAAAGAATTAAGTTTCTCATCAAGTAAATGGCAAGAAGGTGATGGGTCAGAAGGAGAAAGTAGAACTGCTTAATTCCTTCTTTGCATCTGCTTTTACGCAATAGGAAGAAGCAGCCCAACCTATCTAAAGCAGAAATGAGGCAAGGAATAGGCAAAATAGGCGAGGAATTAGTAAGAGAATGCCTAGCCACCCTGGATGAGTACAAATCAACTGGGTCAGACGGTTTACACCCTAGTGTTTTGAAGGATCTGGTAGGGGTAATTTTAGAACCAATGAATGTAATATTTCAAAGGTCATGTAGCACAGGGGAAACAGCAGAGAACTGGAAAAGAGCTGATGTGGTTCCAGTCTACAAAAAGGAGGAAGAACTGATCCTGCAAATTGCAGGCCAATCAGCTTGACATCAATATCTGGGAAAGCCCTGGGAAAGATAATCAAATGGAGGATTTGTGACCACCTAGAGATAAACAAGGCCAACATGAGTTCATTAAAAACCATTGCCTTCTTTGATAAAGTAGCCAAATTAGTGGATCAGCAAAATACTGTGGACATAATATACTTAGACTCCAGTAAGGCATCCAGAGTTTTTGAGGGCAAAGTAGATTACAACCTACTTCTTGGTATGATAGAACAATGTAGGGTAGACAGTGCCACCATCAGATGGATTCACAATTGGCTGACCAACTGCACATAGCAGGTAGCCCTCAATGGAACTACATCTACATGGAGGGAATCATGAAGGGAGATCTCAAGGTTCAGTTTTGGGGCCGGTATTCTTCAATATCTTCATCAATGATCAAATGAGGGGACAGAAGGGAACCTCATCAAATTTGCAGATGATACCAAGCTAGGAAGAACTTTAGAATCAAGATTCAGACGGATCTTGATAGACTTGAATATTGGGTCCTAATCAACAAGATGAAGTTCAGTGGTGAGAAGCGTAAAACCCTGCACTTAGAAAGGAAAAACCAAATGCAAAGGTATAGAATAGGTGGTATCCGGCTCAACAGCAGTAACTGTGAGAAGGATCTAGCTGTCCTAGTGGACCACCACTTAAGTATGAGCCAGCAGTGTGCTACAGTTGCCAAAAAAGCCAACGTAGTTCTGTGCTGAATCAACAAAGCGACACCATTAAGACAATGAGAAGTGATAGAAGTATATTATGCTGCATTGGTGAAACCACACTTAGAATACTTCATCCAGTTCTGGTCACCACAATACAAAAAAGATGATGAGACTCTGGAAAGTGTGCAGAAAAGAGCAACATACATAATAAAATATCTGGAGGCTAAATCATATGATGAACGATTGAGATAGTTAGGTATATCTAGCCTATCTAAAAGAAGGATTGTGGGGGGACACGATAATTGTCTTCTAGTACTTGAGGGGCTGCATAAAGAAGAGGAGATTGACTTATTCTCTAAGGCACCAGAAGGCAGGGCAAGAAGTAATGGGTGGAAACTTGTTAAAGAGAGATCCAACCAAGAAGTAAGGAGAAATTTTTTGACAGTGAGAACAATTAATCAATGGAATAGCTACCCTTCTGGGGATGTGAGGACTCCATCACTGGAGGTTTTCAAAACTGAACTGGACAACCATTTGACTAGGGTGATTAGAGGTGGGTTTCAGCAGGTTCTGACCAGTTCTGGAGAACTGGTAGCGGAAATTTTCAGTAGTTCGGAGAACCGGTAGTAAAAATTCTGACTGGCCCCGCCCCCATCTATTCTCTGCCTCCCAAGTCCCAGATGATCAGGAGGAAATGGGGATTTTGCAGGATCTCCCCTGGAGTGGGGAGGGAATGGGAACTTTACAGGTTTCTTCCCATGCCACACCCACTAAGCCACGCCTACCAAGTCATGCCATGCCCACCAAGCCACACCCACAGAACCGGTAGTAAAAAAATTTGAAACCCACCACTGAGGGTGATATAAGGTCTCCTGGCTTGAGCAGAGAGTTGGACTAGAAGACCTCCAAGGTCCCTTCCAGCCCTAGATTTAAAGTGGTATTCGGTGATGTTTTCCTATAGTACAATCCCACAGCCTTGTGAATAATGTAAACAAGCATGTGGAGCTAATCTCAGTATAATAAATGTGTAGAAAACGATGAATTCAAAATACATTTCCCACAATGTGATTTCCATGGCACTACAGAAAGGGCATAAAATACTGGAATAAACATCTATGGTAAACAGAATAAGTGAAACGAGCATTTCATTTTCACACACACTG